CCCCCCCCCCCCCCCCTCGCTCTCTCTCCCAGCTTCTGTGAGGCGGGACTGCTTCATTCACCATCCGTTGCATAATAACCATCTCTCTTTTATCTGGCCCTATTATTGGTGGATCCCTGGGGGCAGACCTAAAAATAGACACAGAGGCAACCTTGGGGCTCTATTTTCTATTGATATGACCGTTGAAGGAGGGAGGATATCTGCTAGGAATAAAAATGAATCTGATTGATGAAAAATACACCCCAAAAAAAAAGCCTACTGATGTTCACACTGAGCTATCCCCATAACCGCTCTTTAAAATCTAGTTTTATTCTGGTTTATTTTTTATATTCGCTGTATTTAACGCAAAATTCAGGTCAAATAAGAACCAAAAGGGTTTTTTTTAGCCCTTAAAGCAAGATCTCGTCTTGACTGAAAGGATTTAAAAGAAAAAAGAAAAAAACATTTCAGCTTTAGGAGCTGGACAGGCAAAATGAATCTTTTAGACTTCATGACTTCTGCAAACTTCATGGGCCAAATGAAGTTCTGATGTATCGTGTCTGTCTTAACATCATGTGGGTACAGTGTGCTCTTTTGATTGTCGATCACGCAGCCAAACTTTATAAGAATCCATTCTATTTCTGCCTTTGATATAGATTTGAAATGGCAGAGAGGTGATTTAGGCATCCATTTTTGTCTTTGCAGTTTTGATGTGGAGAATGGCCTTCCAGTGGGACGCAGTCCTCTGGACTCTCAGACTAGCCCGGGCTCTGGTCTGGTACTTCAGGGCAACTACCCCCACAGTCAGCGCCGTGAGTCCTTCCTCTACCGCTCCGACTCAGACTTCGACCTGTCCCCTAAAGCCATGTCCCGAAACTCATCCACTGCCAGTGACCTGTGAGTATTCAAAAACTGTCAGATAAACCAACTCGCCTGTTGCCGTACCTTTTAAACAAAGGGAATGTGAACAGAAATGTATTGCTCTGCTTTTTGTATTCATGTCCCAGCTCCTCCCGACAAGACAGTTCTAAAAGGAAGATGTGAAATACAATTTGTTAAGTTGATATCACTGTTTAAAAACATGTCAAATGAGCAGGAAAGGAACGATTCACTTACTGTCACTTTCACTTGTGGCCGATTGTTCATGAACTTGAACTCAGAATGTTAGTGCTCAGAGTTTAGAACCAAATCTCATGAATGTCAAGCCAAGTATCATATGAGGGTTTTTGTTTATTTCTGCTTCAAACAAAAGATTAGATTTAGTTAGAACACATGCCGTCGGCCTAAAATCCACGGTATCAGCAGTTGCTGCCGTAAAGCTGGAGAATTTATTAAGCAGTTTATCATTGTCAAAAAAAAAGATTTTTTGTAAACCCATCCAAGGCTCTATTTACACATCAAGATAAGTATTTCTGACATCTGGCTTTAAAGAGGCTCTTGGCAGCACAGCTGAACTCCGCTGGCTTTTCACTTTTTCCAGCAGAGTTACGGGCTGTTGTGCATCCAGTCGATGCCTGCTTACACAGCAAAGGCTCCTCTGTGCAGCCAGCAGTCTGTTTGAAGCCAGTGACAGTGTAAATGGGGCCTGGACCACCAATAGCTGTCGCTCCTTTGTTTTTGAAGGGAGGAGGGATTGAAGCATTGGGAAGTCAATTGGCTACCTCGGTGAGACCACATGTCAAGATTGCTGTGATCTTTTTGTCTTACCTCTTTTTTGGGCTGTGCCATAACGTCCCTGAGTCACCCCTCCCCACCCCTCCCCACCCCTCCCCACCCTCCCGCTTACATGTCACCTTGTCCTGAAAATGACTTGAAGAGCACTTTCACAAAAGCCCAGCCGCAAAAGTCTCAGCCAACATTTTACAGATTCGGAAGTGATACCCACCTATGTGTTATTTACTATTTAAAAAAAATCACAGAATGGATGTTTCTCCCATTACAAAAGAAGAGTCTCGTAGTGTCAGAATGTTTGCTGAGCAGCAATAAAAAGGCTGGCTTTGTACCCCTTACTTTACCGAGTACTGTACATGCAGAGCATGGTTTTCCCCTGAAGTCAGAAGGTGCCTGATTTGCATGCTGTGACACAGAAGCCTCCTCAGAGCTCTACCTTTATAAAGATCACTTACCCACTGATGATCACTCCCCCTTCCCTGCACCTAGTTTTAACTGTACAAAAATGTTTGGATTTTTTTTTGGTTCTGGTGGAAATTCAGGTTGGTCTTTGGGTCGTAACTGTTCTTGCCATTTTGTAAAAGTGAAAATACATTTTTGTCATAGTGAAACTAATACGGTCCCCCTCTCCTTTCCTTTTACCCTGTGTGATATCCAGACCATGCACGGTCTGAGCCAACTGCAGCTTTACTCTGATATCCCTGTGTGTTGTCACTATTTGCGTCTGCATGTTTGTGTTTTAAAAGTTTTACCACCACCTCCTGAGCCTTGTCTGGCTGCTCGCACAGCTTTTTTCACAAAATGTTTGTGGTTGTTTTTCCAGACACGGAGAAGACATGATAGTAACTCCATTTGCCCAGGTACGTCACACTTGTGTGCATTGTTCATCATGTCAACCCGGCCGAGTGTCAGCTGAGCAACAGTAGTAGTTTTGTTTTAACGTGCTTTGTTAATCACGGTTTCACAGATCTTATAGAAGCACACCAAAACAATGTATGCTTTTCATTTTCCTTAAAGAGACATTTGAAGCTATAAATCCATCTAATGCTGCAGGTGCTGGGATGCGATTATTCATCATATGGGTTTTAGTATTTGAGTGAAGGCAATAATAAAAGTTCTCATCACTCTAAAAGGTGTGAATGAGCCATATTTGTTGTGTAAAAATGAGACTGTGCACACTCATGCACAATTTAAACTAAAGCAGTCTAGGTGGCTCCACGATGGACCATTTGAAGAAATCAGAAAACACCCACACTCATTGTGCTGAACGGCTTGTTCTCAGTCTTCCTGTGTGTGTGTGTGTGTGTGTGTGTGTGTGTGTGTGTGTGTGTGTGTTTTCTTTTGCACATTAGGCCATGAATGTCTGCATATATTTTCCAACTGAGTATTTACTCACTTTGCATTTACGACTTTTTGTTGATTTAGACTAAATTGTTTACCCATGAAAGGATAACTTTAAGGTTTTACACCTTCAGATCTGGGAAATGCCAATTCTTTACAATGTCAGAGTGCCTATTTGCATATTCATTGAGATTTCCAGTGAGCAGATTCAATAAGAAAAGAGCCACATAGTTAGAATCCATAGGGTGACATTGTGTCATCTAGTACTGAGTTTGTAAGATTCAAAACAACCAAAACTGACACAGTTCTTAGTTTTTATTGTCCTGTTTTAGTTTGTATTAAATTTGCAAACCTTATTTATGACAAAAGGTTTTTTAAATATTTATACTAAAGGACTTCCTCATCAGCATTAATGTAATCTTTTTTATTTAGAGCTTTTTAATCAGTAATAAAATATTACAAACAGTTTAATAATGAACAGGAAGTCTATAGATCATACTTTCATAATCCAGTTAAAATGCGTCATGAAAAATCTAGAGGGAACAAAGAGACAATTGATTTATTCCCCACATCAAAGGAATGAGAAAAGTTTAGCCAAAAATAATTTGTTAAAGAAATAAGGCGTTTTCTCATGTCTTAACAAATAAAGTCACTTTTGACTATTTTAAACGATCTCAAATGTTATCCATAAAACATAAGACTTCTTTCTGTCATCCACTGAAAATAAATCATGGCTGTTTCAGACCGATTAACACGACTCCTCTCTTTTTCCGTCATCAGGTTCTTGCCAGTCTGCGAACAGTGAGAAGTAACTTTGCTTATCTGACGCATCTCCAAGATCGTGTGGGAAATAAGTAAGAACAGGAAAACAGCATGGATGACTAACTGCTAGCTGTCTCCTTTCATTTACAAGTACTCTCATCTGTTCCTTGTTTCAGACGACCATCGGGCAGTAACCAGACACCTCTGAGTAAGACTTGTCTCACAGGTCAGTGTTCATATCAGCGTCCATCAGGACACTGGGGTCACAATCAGGGAGAAATGCATTTCTATTTTGGGCCCCTTTGATTTTTGTTATTGTTATTGTCTATCATTCTCTATAATAAAGGAAACTCTTTGTCACGGGAATCCCCAAAACACATTTCAGATGCGGATGTTTTTCGCAGAGTATCGGTCACTTTTCTGACCCACAGCGTGTGCTTCTGTGACCTTTCAGAGGAGCCTTATCAGAAGCTGGCAATGGAGACACTGGAGGAGCTGGACTGGTGTCTGGACCAGCTGGAGACTCTGCAAACCAGGCACTCAGTCAGCGAGATGGCGTCCAATAAAGTGAGCAGACACTAAACCGAGCCTCTTACTAAATTTACAGCCTCAGGTCCCAGAAGTTTTGCTTTGTTCAGTTGCTCTGACACCGATGTACTTCTAATCCACGCATCTGTGTATAAACATCAAAGGAAACCAGGTTTGCATCAATCAGATGTTGAGACTTAGCACGGGCTACAAAAATGACAATTTTTTTGTTTTCACTGCAGCATTTTTGTGATATTCATATCACATGTAAATCATCTGTGAAAGAAAATGTTCAGATGTTGCTGAGGAAAAGATGTCTTTGCCGGAATTTCAGTTGTAGGATAAAAAAAAAAAAGTGATATCTCCCGCCACCAAAAGAATGAATTAGCATAATTATTTTCGGGTTCCCACCTCAGTGTCTCTCCACCATCTTCGCAGCCAGCCAATCAGATCCTTCTCATCCACCCGGCCCCTAAAACTAGACAAGTGTGATTGGTCAGTGAGGGCTGAAACAGCATGCGGAGCTGGGGGTGGGGGGGGCAGGTGCTTTTTAGCTTCTGCCTCTTTCCCTCCTTATGGCTTTCATTGCCATTTCCCAGTGTGAGATGTTATAGTATATTTGTGATCTCCTCCATTCCACCCTTATAACCTGCCCTCCTCTCAAGGACTGCAGCTAGGATTATTGGAACTTTTATTTCCATGTGGACTCCCTCTCTTGTCCACAAAGCCTCTGCTGCTCATGCAGCAAGGCGTACTATGGAGCACAAATGACGGCAGATCACTAAGCAAACTTGGATTTTTTAGCTGCCGGTCTCAGCGACATGCGCGGGCGGACATGCTTCAGCTGGCATTCCGGCTCTGTCTCTGCTGGAGACTCACACAGGTGAGTGACAGGAAGCGCTGCTGGCTCTCCTTGTTTACAGAAGGGACATATTGATCGGCAGTGCGGGGCTTTGCAGGGGGCAGAATGCTGAGTGAGCCAGGCTGTCCTGTCTGACTAAAGACTTCAGGATCCACTAACGCGTGCATTACTGGGATCATGTGGTCAGAGTTTTAGACCCCAGAAACCTTTTGTGTGTTTTTTTTTTCTTGCACAAGAAGCCGATTGAAAAATCGGAAGGAACTGCAGCATTAATTTATTTCATGATAAACAGGCAAAGGTTTTGCTGGTAAATATAGGACAATATGTTTGTGTGGATGCACCCCAATGTGTGTCTCATAGTAGTCGGGAAACAACTGCAGCTTTACTCTCCACCCAGATCCCCCCCCTCCCTCCTCAGACACCATGTGCTGAAGCTGTTAGATAATCAATGTGGAAACTACTGAAACATTTTGATTTCAATTTGGATTTTTTTTTGCATATTATTTGCAGCATTGAATCTGTGCATATCTCCTTTATTATCTTTATATTTGCTCAAATATATAAAAATGAAAACATTTTTTAAACCATTTGTATGACAAATAATTAGGGTTAATACGTTTTGGATCCTTTCAGCGGTGCACACCAGTCTCTCTTCCATCCATTCTGCAGTACACTGAGATTCATTTTAAAGTACTAACAATGTAACCATCTAGAGGCAAAAGGTTTTTTTTCTGATATCCATCAAAGAAGTCTGAGTCTCCTACTCAGGGGGGGGATTTTATTGGACTGTATCGATGCTGTTATCTTGAACTAACCACATTTTATTTTGTCCTGTTTTTTTATGAATGCAGTTTAAGAGGATGCTGAACCGTGAGCTGACACAGCTGTCGGAGACAAGCCGCTCAGGGAATCAGGTGTCAGAGTTCATTGCCAGCACCTTCCTCGGTGAGTTAACGTTTAGCTAAACAACATCAATCATCAGTGAAAAGATAATAAGACACTTATGCAATTGTAATATATGGCTAGTTTATTGGACACAAATTACTAAACCCTCAAGAGTTAAACATATAATGTGGACTCAGTCATGTAGATGCAGCATATCTAAAACATTTCCTCTATTAGGTTTTATTTTGCAGTATATGAGACATATCCTGCATGGTCCATTTAAAATCTTTAAGAGAAGGGGTACATACATGTTGTGTGCATCCAGCATGCTGTATAGTTCATTGGCTGTTAATAGAATAAATAGAATAAATGTTAAATAACAGATTTACTAAAGCTGAATAACAGGAAGGGTTATTTTTTATTTAAAGACAGAGAAAAAGATGGATAGTTTGAAAATTAGGGAGGGGAATAGAGAAGGGATGAGCAGGTGCAGGAAAAATTGAAAGAGAGGGAGACTGGTGGTGAAAAGGACAGATGGAGAAGGTGAGGAATTCTCCTCTGAAACACAAGGAGGCGGGGCAACAAACAGCATTCCCGGACACTTTGTGTGGCGTTGTCGTAGCAACAGGGTGCAATATTATTCAGCAGTGTGTTGCATCAATAGGAGGCTCAGTCTTCAACGGTCCATCCGGCAGGATGATCCAGCCGAGCGAGGATGGAGCTGTCAGACGGACGTTGTTTTGAGATGAATTCCTCATGTGTCGGTGCATTTGGAAATGAACTCTGTGGCTCTGGGTGTAAGGAAGAGGAGGTACTGTGAGAGAGGTGAGGCAGGCCAGACAGTGCTTTGAGTCAAGCTGCTGCTCGGGGTTGTCGTGCATCTTTGCCGTAGCATGCTCCGGTATCAGGGCTCAGATCTGGATGTTGTTCGGGCAGTCTTGTGGCCAGGCTGATAAGGAACTGTGTCCGCAACGTGCAGAGGTTCATATGTGGATGCGAGGCAAAGCAGGCTGTGGGTGATGTCAAATTGATGGGATCATTTCTTTCTGGGTTTCTATGAAAATAGATGAGTCATTTTAACACAGACGTGTCTGCTGGGACAGTACCTCAGTGCTAACAAATCGTTGACATCATGTCTGTTCTGGTGCCTGTTTTGGTGAATTAATATCTTTATTTACTGAAGAATTTCCGTGTTTGATTGTTTATTTTTGTAAATTATTATATTTTAAAATAAACTTAAAGGCATTTGGTTTGCTTATATGATTAAATATGATTTATTCTGACAAAAACTAGTAAAAATCTAAACTGAGCTCCGGAGCTCCTTAGCTTTGTGTTGTTGGTAATCTGTAAATGTAATCCTTTTTTTGTGGGGAAATCCCATAGTTTATATTTTAACTTAAATCTGAGCATTAGGATTTAAACATACGTTTTCATGTTGTTAATGTATATGTTCTTTATTTTTCTTTATTTTTCTGCAATGTCAGGTGCTCACAAGGTCATTGTTTAACCCAAAGTAATTACATGATCCTGCTGTTTTGTTCCGAAAATTAGACATCTATTCCCGTCTTTTCTTAATTAGACATGGCTGTGTATTTGTTTTGTGTGTGGCAGATCAGCACGTGTGGCTAGCACAATTTAATAGGACAAGACAGAACATGTCAAGAGTGCAGCTTATGCTGAGCTGTACATTTGCAGAGCTGAAAAGCTTCTGTAAAGTTAGTCTGTTTTCTCACAAATAACATTTCATTTTAACCAATCCAGATGCACCAATGTAAGCTTTCACTATAAAGTGGCTTATGGTAAAGGTTATCAATAGAGGGTAACAAGTGCAGACTGTTTTCAGAAGAAGAATGTTCGAGAGGGAACGGTGAATGAGAGGTGAAGAGATGGAGGGGAGGAGTGAAACAGGGCTCCTAGTGATCAAAACATTTCTTGTGGAGGATATAAGGATGAAAAATTTCAGTTGGTGGAGATGAGGATGAATCTTCCACAGCTTCCACAATCTTTCTATCTTCTATAGTCCACTCTCAGGTTCTCACAGTCCAACTGGCTGTGTTTGAGTAAAGATGTTTTCATGGTTCTCCAAGGTTTTGTCTTTACCGGTTTTGGAACGGCCAGAAAGAAAAACACGGGAGACAATGGTAGTTACTGTCTTAGTATAAAATATACAGTCTTCCTCACAATGGTACTCAGTGAGTAACATTGAGATGAAAGTCAGGGGACATGAGGACTGATACCCAGTGTGAGTCATGTGTTTCAGAGTATAGATCATATACTGTACATATATATTCAAGAACCCAAACGGTTAAAACAAATTTCAAAGTTGGTCTTAACTTTTAACTCAATTTCTTTAAAATCATAAAAGTGATATGGAAGTCTGGGTCTGTGTAAGGTTAAAAAGAGTGGTCAGTTCTGTTATCATGGCTCATTTGTACTTAGTATAATATAAAATAAGACAGCCTGTCTTTATCCTTATGCATCTGTGTGATCTTATTGCAGAGAAGCAACATGACTTGGAGATCCTGTCTCCGCCTCTTAAGGAGAAGGAGAAGAAAAAGAGGCCGATGTCCCAAATCAGTGGCGTAAAAAAGGTTACGCAAAGCCCGAGCTTAGCCCCGTCCTGCATCCCTCGCTTCGGAGTCAACACACCGCATGAGAGCCAGCTGGCCAAAGTGGGTTAAAAAAAAAAACTTGAGACGCCAATTGAAAGATGCACATATCACTATATGAGTTTTTTACACTTCCTGTTTTTCTCATCAGGAAATCGAGGATATCAATCGTTGGGGTATGGACATCTTCAAACTAGCAGAATATTCAGGAAACCGGCCTCTGACGGTGATCATGTACTCCATCTTCCAGGTAGGAGCAAAACAGGAAATGCGATACATACTATAGATTTAAATGTCAGGTATTACTTATGTTCACAATATGATTAAAACTTATTTAAGTTTTGTGAATGATCAGTGATCGTGATATTTGGCAGAAACACAATGCTTCTAAATTGAATTTTGCTTAGGGCCCCATGAAGTCTTGGGGCGGCTCGGCGTGGATATCTAACAGACACTTTTTGTTTTATGTCCCTCTTTTCAATGTTTGATGCTTTATTGTTTTGTTTTGTTTTTACTGACAGGAGCGAGACCTTCTTAAAACCTTTAAGGTGCCAAATGACACCTTCATTACTTTCATGATGACCTTAGAGGACCACTACCATGCAGATGTAGCTTATCACAACAACATCCATGCAGCTGACGTGGTGCAGTCCACCCACGTCCTCCTGTCCACCCCAGCCTTAGAGGTGAGCCAATCAAGCTGCCCCGAGTTGCTCTGTCAATGACAATGAACTCAAATTAAATGATTTTGATGCCTAGCATTTTTAGGTTGGTTGGTATTTAAGTTGGTATTTGTTCTGAATGACCCTGTTTTCCTGCTTTGATCTTAACAGGCAGTGTTCACTGACTTGGAGATTATGGCTGCTCTGTTTGCCAGTGCCATCCATGATGTAGACCATCCAGGAGTAACAAACCAGTTCCTCATCAACACCAGTAGGTTACTCTCTGCCCATTTAGCAATAAGATAAAAGTAGCAAATGTTTCTGCAAAATAATTCAGATATTATTACTTGGAAAACAGACGGCTCGTCTCTGTTTATACAGTGTCCTTAAGATGTATTTCTAAGTAGCGTGCACAACTGGGAGAGGACCCTCAAGTGGCATATTGTTGAGTTGATTTTTGTTCCTGGTGTTCTGCTTCCTGATTTGCGATTATTGAATTAATCATTTCGATTGAACTACAAACTTCCAGGTTCAGAGTTGGCTGTGATGTACAATGATGCCTCCGTACTGGAAAACCACCACCTCGCTGTTGGCTTCAAACTACTGCAGGAGGACAACTGTGACATTTTCCAGAACCTCAGCAAGAAACAGAGAGAGTCTCTCCGAAAGATGGTGATCGACATGGTGAGAGATTGGGATTTGTGTGTCTTCTTTGCCCTAGTCCTTAGGACTTCTCTGTAAAGAGTTTGTAAATATAACAGGCTAACAAGAGGAAACAAATTATTTAAAATCCAAAATGGATCCGAATTAAGAACACTAATCGCTTGGCCTTAAGTGCCAAAACAGACCTTAACACCTATCACTCTGTGATCTTTGAAAGAAAGTAGCTATAGATGAATATGTGTTGTTCACTGCCATGGTCTTGTGTAGGTGCTGGCCACAGATATGTCCAAACACATGAACTTCTTGGCGGACATGAAGACAATGGTGGAAACCAAGAAAGTGACGAGTCTTGGAGTCCTGCTGCTAGACAATTACTCTGACCGCATCCAGGTAAGAAAAATCCACAATATTATCTCACAATCATGACATGTCGATAGCATAGTTTTTAGTTATAGAAAAGCAGTAATGTATGCAGTATTATACAAAGGATTATGATTTGGCTTTGTGCTTCTGTGCATTTAAATGTTCTCTCCTAATTACTTTCCTAAATGAGAGCAGAGCCAGAACTCAGATGTGGTACAGAATTTGTGGTAAATCAGTACTCAAAACACATGTTGATACACAGATGTGTGAAGGTGCTCAGGCAGTGGATGGGTTAGTTTTCTTAAGCTAAAGAGAAAATTAAAAAGGTTTTTCACAGTCATTTGTTATTAAACATCACAGAGAAGACAGCTTAAAGTAGTCTTAACAGTTTAGTTTCTTAATAATGGGGGTAATCAGGTTACAGGAAAAGTGTTGCATTAAGCATTAGCAGTTTTTTGCAACAGTTTTTGTAACAGGATGTTGCTTCGACAGGTTCTACAGAACATGGTCCACTGTGCCGACTTAAGCAACCCAACCAAACCACTGGAGCTTTACCGCAAGTGGACAGACCGCATCATGGAGGAGTTCTTCACCCAGGGAGACAAAGAGCGGGACAAGGGGATGGAGATCAGTCCGATGTGTGACAAACAAAATGCCTCCATAGAGAAGAGCCAGGTAACGTGCACTGATAAAGTTCAAAGGAAAAGATGGACCTCAGAAGAGAAGATTTCAGTTTTTCCTGGTAACAGCGGATTTTTCAAGAAATCAAACTCATATATAGATATGCTTCGATAATAGAGTGGCTGTGGGCTATTAATCGAGTGACGTGGACATTTGACATTATAAAGAAATAAAAGAAAAAAGGGTTGCAGAAAAATGCCTTTTTGTTATCAAATTGGCAGTCTGAATATTTGATATATTCATTCAAATAGAAACATAAAAAACATTTAAAAAACGGCTTGAGTTTAGTAAAATACAACATGCTCACAATAGTGGTCATAAGATAAGTGATAATAACAAGACATTTCTTCCATTTTAAGTGTTTAAATGACCTAAATTAACCAGTTCAACCTTGATGAAGGGGGTCGTCTGACTGACTTACAACACTGTTTTCCAAAACTGTGGTTAGGTTTAGTCACAATATATAAAGAACAGAGGACAAGAAGGAATCTCATACAGCTAAGAACAGAGAAACAAGCCATAGATTTTAACCAGAGACCACTGAACCACCTACTTTTATATAGAAGATCATTTGAATTATCGACTTAGAAGACACTCACGAGATCAAATGACCACAAACCTTCTTTGCTGGACGATGTGCGACTAAAACCACGCCTCCATGCTGCTAGTTCTCATGTCTTCGGCACTAAACAAGCTTTGTGCATCTGGCTGTTTTTGTTTTCCTTTCTATATTTTTCACGTTGCCATGTTTTTGTAACTAGGTGGGGTTCATCGACTACGTTGCACACCCCCTGTGGGAGACCTGGGCAGATTTGGTGCATCCGGACGCTCAGGACATCCTGGATACGCTGGAGGACAACAGAGCGTGGTACCAGAGCATGATCCCCCGAAGCCCCTCACCCTCCAGCCCCGAGGAGCACCACGCCGAGGTGGGGCCGGCTGATGGAGCTGGGGGCGCGGGGGGACCCATCATGTCAGGAGGACTAGTAGGAGGCGACAAGTTCCAGTTCGAACTCACCCTGGAAGAGGAGGAGGAGGACGAGGAAGAGGCGAGGTCCGACGCGGAGAGCCCCGTGGAGGAGGACTTCCCCCCCGGCGGCGAGAGGCGGCGGGGCTCCTCCTCCCCGTCTCTGTCTCCGGACCCCCGCGGCGGCAGATACCGCCCCCCGTCGCCCCACCCGTCTCGGACCCTGAACCTGGCTTCCATGTCCGTGCGGAGCCCCCACCCCCACCGGACGCTGGCCTCCCCGGGTCAGGAGGGGGCCGGCATGGACAGAGAGCTTAGCCAGGAGGGCGAAGGCGTGGCCTGCCTGCGCATGGGCACGTAATAACCAGCACAAGCGGCCCGGCCCGAAGCACACAGGCGTGGGGTGTGCGGAGGCCCGGGCACGTCAAGCCTTTCCAAATAATGTCTGTAATACACCACAGTCCCTTTACACTGGAGACACCCTCTCTGGAGAGAGCAGAGGAAACATTCTTCCTCTGTCTTTTTATTTTTCTCAACAAGATTTAATCCTTTAAGCCTCTGAGCGTCTGAGAGGCCTTAGTGTCCCGTCCTGGTTTGCTGTAGCTTCTGTCAGGGGTACTCCAGACAAAAAAAAACTGTTGCATTCAAACTGGGAAGAAGATCAGATCCGCGGCCTGTACTCAAATGAAAGAGAAAGGAAAAGGAAATGTCTTCCTTCAAAATAACTGTGATGTCTGGACATGAGCAGTGAATGAGGATCACAGCGGTGTGACAGGGTCTTGGAAAAAAAAAAAAATTGCACCGTAGAATAATTTTAGGACACGAGAATATTGAGTCCTAGTTGGGAAAAGTGAGTATGATTCTTTTAGAATGACGTGTGAGAGTAATCATTTTAACCAAATACAGGATGTAAATGAGGAGCAAGAAAATCAGTGGACATTAACCTCAGGGTATGAAGAGAAACACAAATCTAATGTAGCACAGATGTAATCCTGACAAAAAAACAGTTGTTTTCTTTCCCTTTTTTTTTGCCTCCAAATGAGGAACGTTGTTGTTCAACGTCTCCAGATTTACTATAACCCCTTTAATAGAGAATTTGGCAGTTGAAGCAATCAAATCCTTAAACCAGCTTGTGGCGCCACAGATTTTGAGCTGAAGACTGCACCCAGTCTCACTCGTCCAGAAGACAAATGACACCACTTGTATCATTAGAGCTTTCCTCTTCTTTTTTTACAGTATCTGAAATTATTTTAAATGTTGTCATTTTAAATTTCATACTGTTCCTTGTTATACATTTGCTGATCTTGTATGTATTTATGTGCTTAAAAGAAAAGCATTTTTTTTAATCAGGTGCCTCCAGTCCGTAGTAGCACTTTACCGTTTCTGCCACTCTGCTCTTCTTTCAGTCACACAAAGGGCTTCGCTCACTGTAGGCCTACTGATCACCAAAGTATTACAGAGTATTTGACTACAGGTACCAGAAGGCAGGGCAGGAAACAAACCAATCTTTCACAGGAAATTTTGGTGAAACAGTGAAAAAGGCTCCGAGCCCCCTGGTGGTCAATTCAAGATTAATATCCACTAAGGTTTGTGTCTCGGTTTTAAGAGCTTATGTTCAAAATGTCTGTTGTTTATAATTTATCACTATTAATTTGTGGAGTATAAAAAAGATTATAATGGTTCTGTTTATCATCAGTCGACACTCTACATCTTTTTTTTTCTCCAACATGAAATGAAACAAAGTGAAGATTGACATTGGAAACACTGGACCTTCTAATAGACATAAACACAGCCCTTTTCAGTTTGCGGCACGTCTTCTTTAAAAGGCTTGTGTTTCCAGAATGTCGTTGTGATGGATCCGGTGCTTTGAGTTGAAGAGCTGAACCCTTTGAACTCCGTCCATTGAATATTGACAGATACACAAAGCGTGTGTGAGCTCATAATTGATATACTAACCCTCTCTGATTTGCATATTTTCTAATTAAAAAATAACAAAACTGTGCTCTTACCACTCCAAATCGAACTGAATCGCAGTCAGAATGTAGCTCCCAGCCTAATTAATAGTGTTAGTATATTATGGTAATCGCAGTTTTATCGTTATTGTCATGTAAATACAAAACCCCTCGATAAACCAGCACCAAAATGAATGTCTTGGTAACAGCTTGTTCGTTTGTTTCACCAACAATTTTTTTCCCTAAAAATGAGTGTTATATCCATGCATTTAATCCCTTCAAATTGCCCCCAAATAGTGAAGAAATTACATTTTCTGACATTTTCAGTGTCCTGCTGTTACATTGAATCATCCGTTAGTTTTTTGTTTTTTTAAAGGCTACCTCATTTTGACTGTTCTGGGAATATTTATGGGATTTATTAAATGGGTACTGTCAGTTCATGAAAAGGTGAACTGCTAGGCTTGCTGTCTCTTGACCTCAGTTTGAAACATCTTGAGCTTGAAGAAAAGATGCTTGGGCACATTTGTCAAGCTTCACTTTGAATGTTGCTGCTGGAGAGAATTATGAAATTACAGTACAGTTTATTTTATAGAGGATGGTCCACTGTTTCAAATGCTTAAGGAGATAATACATTTTCCTTTTTTTAAACTATTTAACCAGTACTTAACATCCCTGGCTGGTTAGAAAATTCCACACCATGGGGAACCTTTCCAAGCTTTCCAAAACTTCCCATAACATAGCCTCAAAAGGCTAATCTTTGTTGATCTTTGTTGTCACTTAACAACTTCTATATAGCTAGATTTCCCAAAGGTTTGTTTTCCTGCCCGGCTGACAGATACTGCTGTAGACCTCAGTTTTAAAAAACTGCTGACAGACAAGAACCTGTAGTCAAAACTGAAAACCGTGCTCCAATCGGGATATCAGTCTCATTTGGTAGATAAAGCTCAACTGGAATAACAGAATGCCACAAGTGTCGAGAACTCCCAAACACCTGCCAGCCTACAATGCTGTACATTTTTACACTAGAGATTTTAATGATTGTATCAAAGTCACTAACTTTATAGTGTTAGTTTTTACAAATCATACACGTTGACAGTATTTAAAGCAGATATTTTTAGTAGACCGTGTGAAGTGTAGGATCAGTTTCTTGCCCTTTGCCAATCAAATAGCTAAGACCACGAGAATGTGCGTAGTTGAAGGCGTTTCATTACCAGCGTTCATGCTTCTCCATACAAAGAACACATTCAGTCAAGTGATGCTTGTAACAGTCATTAAGAGAAGAAAAAAAAAGACCAGGAAGTAAGCAAGCACTACAGAGATGATGCACTTCTTGGTGAGAAGGTAGTAGGAAACACTAGTCCAACAGTATTTCATTATTCAGCATCGTTGGTCGGTCTCTTAAAGGGGAGGTTTAAGCCCCAAGTGAAATGACCAGTGCCGTTTTGAGCTGCTGACACTCAGACTGCTTGAGCTAGGGGGAATTTTCAGAAATATTCAAGTATCTGAAGTGTGTGAAACACTACAGAGGTAGAGAGTAATACAGTTTCTATTTCAGTGAATGTACAGCAAACATTTTCAACACCAATCTCGTTGTACACTGTATAATAACAGAGGGCATTCATTTAACAATCGACGTTCACCAGTAAAAAAAAAAATGGTCACAATCTGCTTGGCCCTAAGATTTTAAACAATTACACATTGTTAGATTTAACAGAATTCTAATTTTCTGGTAAGTCAGTTAAATGGTCAACTTCCTGTCATTTTAGTTTACAGCCGTTTGTGGACTGATGTACCAACAATCCCCCGATGCCTTAAAATGACTGAAAGCCCATGTAAAAGCTTAACATCTCCAGCTTTGTGACTTGAGGAGCACCATACAATGGGCAGACATGCAATTACTGTTAAAAATCTTTTTTAAAAGCAATTCTCTTGCAAATTATATGTAGCAAAGTGTCTCGCCAATGAAAAAAAAGAAAAAAAAGTTTCCAGTCCATGCTAAGGGGATTGTATTCTGAATATCATTAAAAAAGGAGCCGAATCATTTTACATTTGGCAAAACAAACATTTTGATGTCAAAACGCCTCATGTTAGAGGGCATGAGCAATATTTTAAGTACTTAAAGTTCAGAGAATACCCAACTGCTAGAACATCTAAAGTGTGAGTATTTTTTCCCCCCTTTAAATTTTAGCTGCCCGCTACCTCTATTCTGTTTCACCATTTGGTTATAAAGTTGACAGATTTTCTCCAGTAGCCTACAGTCTGAGTTTTCAGCACGTTTTTTTTTTAAAAACAAAGAAATCATCCAGTACTGTGGCATGTCACAGGAAGTTGTTGCCACATAATGCTAAGTGTTCAAGAGCAGGGGTTCCTGCTTTTGCTCGTAAGTGTCGCACCGTTGCTACCTTTAACATTCACGCCATCCTGTCGCCTACCACCAGCTTTATGTGTCGTGCAGATGTCTGAATATATTTATTCTTTACAATGTGTCTGTCAAGAGAATGTACTGTAACATAGGACTTTGATTTCATGTTCTGGAGCCTAAAATCAAGTGTGTACGCCTACCACTCCAATGATTGTCAACGGAACTGTTTTGCATTTTAAGCCAAAAGTCTCGGGAGTTCAGGGTGTTTCAAATGGAAAATGCCAATAAATTATATGAAAGTGTTTGTGGACTACTTTTGAAGTTCCAACTGCCCTGTTTTACTTTTTTTTTTTTCTTTTATAAATGGGGAGAGAGAAAAAAAAGAAAAAAAAACACAAGTTGTTCCTGGACAAAAATCTGATTTAATCAAGTTTACATCAACCTTTTTCCTGTGTGACAAACATGTTAGCTTCAAGGTGTTCAGACACTTCTACTCAGTTTGACAGGAGCTCCAGTGCAGGCTGGAGGCTTCACACCCTGTAGGCACAAGTCAGAGTCACATTCCAGTTAGCGGCACAGACTATAACTTGGTGCATGCAGGAAAGAAACACTCACATTTCAAAGCACATTATATTTTCAACCCATTTCTAAGATCCAATGTGGATGCATCAAAACTTAAGAGTTCTCACCTTGTAGAGCTCACAGACCAAATGGAAGAGGGAAGACATTGCCTTGTCTTCATTCTCCTCAGTGTATTCCTTCAATAAAAATAAAATAGAAATGTCTGTAGCCAATTCCCTTTTGCCACATGTGCATTTAAAGAATGCTTAGATTAAGGTTACAGAATTTAAAAACAAAATTAGACCTGCATACACCGAACAGCTAATGTTACTAGCAAAGTTAAATCCTACCTAGAGCCAACTGTTAAAATAAAAAATAAAATCACAGCATGTTTTGATTGTTCATAAAATTAAAATTGTGTTTTACCCCATTGAAAGTGATCCAAGGCACATGCGTGTGGGCAGGGCTCAGCGCTCTGGTCATGACGGCGTTGGCGTGCATCAGCTTATATCCCACATGGCCGTTCACACAGGTGTCAACACTGGACCAGGACACTGACGGAGCGTAGAGCTGGAGGCACTGGTGACAGCAGAAATAATCAATCCAGTACCACTGGAGGACTTCACATAAGAAAAAAATTTAATAAAAAAGCATCCTCACAGGCTGTGCAGCATTAAGAACTTGTGTTGAGGATTCCATGCAGTTGATTATGGGAAATGCAAGCGAGTTTCCAGCTAAATGGATAATGCAGGCCTGAGGAAAGGATTACATATATTAGCACAACAGGAAAATAGAAGAAAAAATAAATAAAGTGGTTAAATCAACCTCAATCATGTTTCCTCTGCATTCAGGTGCTCCATGCTGACAAACAAAAGGGGCATTTGCTGACAGAACCTCCTGAAAAAGAGGTTAATGCCAGTTTTTAAACAGGTATAGTCTCCTTATGGCCACATCAGCACACCAGAGGGAGGATCGGTTTACCTTAGCATTCCCATAAGGCACAAGAGTAACCGACATGATGTCCTGCAGCATCATCCAAGTGGGAAACAGCTGCTGGGTGAAGAAGACCCTGCAGTCCGGACACAAACTCTCGTAGTACAGTGTGAGCTGGACAGGAGGAACGGTCTGGTTTGGCCTGATGGCACTGAGCTCCATGCACTGTTTCTGCACCTGTACAGAAAAGAAAGACCAATACCACAAGGTCCTGCCTTTTTTTAAAGCACACTCCTGTATCACAAAAGGGTGGAGGCTTGGTTCCAAACACAGTATCAAGTTTAAGCACATAATCAAAATGTTTTAGGATTTCAGCTTCAATAAAAACCCATTTTTAACATGTTCCCGTGAGATAGTTTAGTTGCAAGCAGCACCCAGATTTCCTGCAAATCCAGAGAGCCGGATGAGCTGTGGATTACTTTGAGTTTAAGCAACATTTGAGCTTTTCCAGTGTAAAGTAAACCATGAAATATTACCTACAAAACCACATTATGTTTAGATGGCAACACATTTGTAATATTCTGTGCCATCTCTGAATAAAACCCAGTAACTAAAATTTTGAGTAATCTTCAAACTAATTAAAGCTTTAGGCATGATTTGGCCCCAACTGCCCTCCGGTCACATGAAGAAACCTCTGGCGCTTAATTTCAGAAGCATGACTCTCGTTTAAGTCCAGACTTGGGAAATCTGAATTTCAGACAGTTCAAAAGGGAAGAACCATGTCGAATGACACCAGCAAGAACTTTGAAAAGAAACATTTTGTGAATATATACAATTTCATCCCTCAAACGAAAAGCTTGGCACCTCAAAAACTTTAAAAAATATATATATGTAAAAAGGTATTAGTGGTACCGAGTCGACTCCAAACGCGGCCCGACACTCACCTTACATTCTATGGCTATTTCCAGTGATCGGCACCACTGGGACGGGGGATAACGGCAGGCAGGTTTGGGGTGAGACGACCCGGCACATTTAGGGCTGGCGCAGAGGGCCAGAATCACGGCCAGGAGTCCCGAAAGCTTCATGCTCGGCATCCAGAGTCGCGGTGCAGGCAGCGGGGAGAGCAGGAGCCGCAGACTGGTGCCGCTCCTCCCCGCGGACGCGCAATATCAGCGCAGTCATCAGCTGATGCGCACCAGCTGCGCCATCAGCCTCCACCAGCCCCCATCAGCCCCCACTGAGCCGATCGTAGAAGAAAATTGGTTGTACGAGTTATGCCATAGAGGAATTCTCGCATTTTTTATTTTTGTACGAGTATTAGGATGACTTACAGTGAGTCAATAACAAACTAGCAACGTTGTAACCTAGTGGTCCAAGTCCAAGGGTCAAGTTTTTCCTTCCCTTTTTGACACCACTACATTTTACTAAGACAATTGACACCCAGAAACAAACACAAAGTGATGTCAAGCTGTGGTGATTGTGATTTGTGATTGTGTAGTTGTTGCATGTGGAACTGTTTGTGTGCAGTTTGTGTGCACTTGACATCCCAGTGTGCTGTTTGTAATTCACTCATTCAAAGGAGTGTGATTAGTTAGTTCAGATTAGCCTTTTTCTTCATTTTCCATTACCATCATAGACTAATTTAAATTAGTCTAACTTCTGCCATAGTGCAGGTTTTACAAATGCACAAGGTTTTATGAAGTGAAAACATTTCGGTCCGTTTGTCGCTGCTTTTGGATGGGCCTGTTGTTCACACCAGGAATCACAGTCAACACTGGGGGCTGGGCACCCCCAAAGGTCAGATCCTAGAATCGCCCCGGCTCACCAACGTTCCCAGCTTTGGTGAAACATCGTCCGCCCCTGACCCTGGTCACTGGGAGGTGGGTCGACAAGTGTGCGTGGGGGAAATCAACATATGTTTAATCACTTTCTTCACTTCTCTCTGGTAACTTTCCACAAGTGGATATTCTAAAGGTTATTTTTCTTTGTCATGGGGCTCTTTCCTTTTTCAAGGTCTCCTTATACTTCATCTCTTAATGTTTTGGCTTGAGGATTGTTTGGTACAGGTCCAGGTTACTCTATGATGGGAGACAAACTCTCCTCCTCATCCCATGCTCAGAGAGGGCTATAAAATGTAAGATTTTGTTTTACTTTGGAGCAGCTTGAATGTTCTGGTTGCTCTCACTTCATGAAGATTTTCCATTTAATACATTTTCTATTTCTTACTCACTTGGACAGACTCAGACTTTTGCTTTGAATATAATTTCACCTTTAGGTGTCATAAAGCTCTCCTTGCAAACTTACTGAAATTATGAGACTGCCAAGGGGTGACGCTTTATTAGTGCATAGATGTCTGTTTTTTCCCCCATGAGTGAACCCCATTGCTGTTTTACCACACTTTGACTGCCCAGACTAGCCCAAACTTGTTATGCGGAGACTGAAAGAGGAGATTAAATGTTCTGTGTCTCTGGACTAAGATGGTGTCACACTTCTGTTTCGTGTTGCAAGGTGCTGCAGAAAGCTGGTCAGCAGAGGAACTAGTAAGCCTCACGTGCGTAACAAACGGCCCAGCTTTGCTTCGTTCTGCTCCCAGTGGCGTCTGGAAATGTTGGCTTACCGGCCCACCTGCTCCTCTGTCAGTAACGTGAGGCTACAGCCACCGCTAAAGGTAAGACCCTTCTGTCACTGTGTCGATGGCATCTGGTTATGTTTCGTGATGACAGGTTGCACAGATTCCGTCACAGTGGGTTTTCCCTCTGTTTCCTTCACAATATGTCCCCTTTTGTTTGGTTCCATTTGTCAGATTGTTGTGCGCATTAGCTGGAAGCCTTATTCTTGCACAGGGGGTACACAAAGTGTATGACGGTTTGTACTTCATCCTGTGGCTAACGTGGTTGTGAAAATAAAAACAATCACTCGTTGAATCATAAACTCAAATTTTATTTGGGATCTGAAAGTGCATACTTGAACATCAATGCTCTGAAGTAGGTAAAGTTAGGTTTCACATCAAAAATGTTTTTGAACCGGTTTCCCTCAGATGAGCTCTAAAAGGAAACGGGCTATTCGAACATCAACAAGCTGATGATTTTTGCATAATCAATACAGTGACTAAACATCTACAGTAACAGGGTCATTTCAACGACGACAGGCGTTTTTCTAATTATCGCTAAAACCTTTTAATTGAACGGAAAAGGACGTTTTGACACAGCTACGATTAAATGGAAGATCACAGTCACAGAAAGAAACATTTGAACAGCCGCTGGGGCGACCGTGATGCAGAGACAAGAGAAGCTGTTTGATTAAAGTCCCCGGATCTCAGACAGTTCGAGAGCTCGATGAGGATCTTTTCACCCAAACGAAGTTTAGAAATGACATAAACATCAGTCGCGTTATGGCATGGAAGTTCAACGTGAGAGTGAGGCCTGTAAATGGCTCTCACTGCAAAAGTCTGCTGCTCTGCCACTGCCCGCTTAACCCATCTTCACTTTTCTTGTACACACTGTAACACCTAAACAATACGACATACCCTCCTGTAGCTCTCTGGAATACATAACCAGTTCCCTGACTGAAACACCTCTACCCCTTTACCTACACATTCTATTCCCCCCACATCGTCACGACAGCTCCTCAATGGGTCAACATTTATTCAAACAGAGGGTTATAAGGACATTTGAGTATAATTGTCGTGTTTGCAAAAAAAAAAAATATTGACCAGGAATCTGAGCTCTTCTAGAATCCAAACACATTTCTGTCAAACGTTTACTTCCTTCTTCCATCGCTACTATCAAAGCCAACGCTACACAATTCCAGCCAGCGAGAACCCCGTCCGGCTTCTTTTTACACGTAACCCGTCGCTCTCTTTCTGTCCTCCATGTGTCCCAGAATGTCGAGGCTCAAACGGCCCCATAGACATCCAGCTGTGAGGTTGTTTGTGGGTGTGTGACCAAACCGCACACCAGTTAAGCCGATTTTAAACTTCCATGCCATAAATCCGCGGCACCGAGCGCATTTAAAAACACTTCCAAATCATTAATGGAGTGCGACCAATCTCCGTCTTTAAAACTGTTTAATGGGTTGGAAGCAAATCCTTTCTAAATGGCTAATTCAGATGTAGAATGCAGAAAACTAAACAGTCAGAATATGAATGCAAACAATGGGTTCTTGTTATTTTTAACCACGAAAATTACTTGTGATATGTTGACAGGTTTTGTAAGATAGCTAGTACCTGGGATGGGTTTTGTGTTTATGTTTACTAATACAACAATCAGCTCGACATAGTTTCTGTCTTAGCGGTAGCAATATCACAGTAATCTTTTTTTTAATGTTTTTTTTTTTTTGGCCCCCCCCCCCCCACTGAAAACATTAACGTAGAGTGTTTTCAGCATTTTCTGTTTAGCTTCCGTTTGCACAGTGATAAAACCTTAAAAGCTACAGAAAGCAACGACATCTACACAAAAAGACCAAATCGTGCACATATAATTAACGAGGTGTCTGAATATCGTCGCGGTCATCCTGATAAAGATGCCAGCACACCAAAAAACATTTACTTTAGAAGTGCTACAACACGTCAATCTCATAAGCAACTCTTCTATATTTACAGCCACGACATGCTCGGCCCCCTGGGGTCAGGGCGCCCGGACATGTGGAAAAGTCCTAGTATCTCTACCTCACATGAGATACCTTTTGTGCAAATGCTATGCTTTGAATTTAAACCCAGCAGAATGGTGATCTTGCCCAGCTTTCTGTGCATTGAACACTTTTGTTCCGTTGTTGAACAGTATTAGAAATAAGCAATGCTTCACCATCAAATTGAACTGTTAAAGACGTTCTATTCTGTGTGCCGGAAATATTCAGAAAGACGGACAAGCTGACAGATGAGGGACATTTTGGTTTTACCTGGGTTAGAAGTTCAGTTTGCACTGCTTTGTGGTGGTTGTGGCTCACTGTCCACAAACTGTGCAATGCAGCACTTGACATTTTACTACTGTGCAACACTATATGCTCGACTGATGTGGTTACAGGCACGACAAATACAAAACATTTGCTCATGTAATGGGAGACACCACAGCCTCAGCTCTAACTGTGTGCCCGACAGGTGGTTCAAGATACAAATAAGAAAATACTACAGCAATAAGTGCTAAGCACCAGTCACAGAAAATACTGAGAATGTTCCAGAATAGGTGTAATCCATTAACGAAAGGAAACATCTTAACAAGCTCGTGTTGAATTAGTACTACCAAAACGGATAATCAAACAGTACCCAGCCTTGTGATACTTCTTGAATCGGTCACACGATGACGGCATGCAGTAATCCAATTTATACAACTTATACAAGACTGGAATCAAGCTGCACAGCTCCCTTTATAGCAGTTAACAGTCTGACAAAGCAGACATCCAGCAGATGCACGCGACTACAATCACGCACACGTTTGAACCTTCTAGAGAAGTGCAGCAAAACTGACCCATTCAAACACAGGAAAGAGAACTTTGTCCAGCTATCTACTACTCTCTTATATATGCAAACTAATAATATTTGAAGTACAGGGCAAGAAAACTGGCGATGCTGTAATTTAATGTTTTTTTTTCTCCTCTATAAACGGTTTGAATCACTGTATTCTACAAACATCTCATCTCCGCTACCTTCACAATCAAAAGTCCCTGGGTCACAAACCTGATACCTACCCAAAGCCAGAGGGACTTGGATAGGTCTGAAATGTAAACAATTTCAATTTCAACTTAAATAGACGAACAAGTTTGGGTTTTCTTATCTATTGCGTGTAGCACTATAAACACAGTGTTGTGTCATACATTTTTAATGCACCTCACTCTGAGGTAGCAATATTCTTAAAGCTGCTCCATCAACCAGAAGCCTCTGAAGTCATATTTGCTCAGTATTGATGCCACAGAAACAAAAATATGTTTTAAATATATATAAGTTGTTGTCATAGATGGCGTGCAGCCTTTCTGAACGCCATGTCTGGAACAGTACCATAATGCATGCAGCCGTCGCATTTTACAAAACGATGCAAACATCTCAGGTGTTTGGATCAGCTTATGAGTGCTTTCACGTGGGATTTAGCGGCTGCAGTTGCTTTGCCTTGCATGCGTGCTGGCTTTTGCTTTTCTTTCATTTAACGAGTCTTTGTCGCACTCCACGTTAGCTGTAAATATAGTTGTTGAAATACAGGTGTGCTTTATCACACGATGCCTGCTAAAGCATGTGAAACGACCCGTTTGTTGGTTCTTTCACATAGATCAGACGAATGGGACGGATTAGAAGTTTTGCTGTATTATCTCTTGATAACCCAATTATGGACATTACCTGAGATAATGCCCTAAGTTTTTTTACAGGATTCATGTCACGTTGATGTACATTTCTGGCCAAAAGCTATGAGTGAAAGTCTTCAGAATACTGATAAATACTCGCACTCAGATTCGATAGTTTGTGTCTTCGCTTTAAATTGAAAGTTTAGTGACCAATAGAAAAAACTCCACCAAGTTGTCCATCTGGAGCAGATTCATATTCTGCATGGACTTTTGGAACTGTTTCTTTTCAATTTCCGTTCAGCTTTCATAAACACAGTGCAGAAATACGTTTTATATTTGGAAGCTTTTTTGGGTTGATGTTTCGTTTAATCTTAACTGCACTGGAAAAAAAACGTTATTAAAAATGGTATTACCTTCATGACAAAGGAAAGATGGCCGTTAAAACTTTTTTTTTCTGGTTTGAGGAATAATGGTAGGAATTCTACTATCCGTGTGTCCTGTGTTGGGTTGGGGTTGGATGGCAAAGTTCGATTTTTCATTTGTCGCCTTTTTATCTCCATTAACAGTAAATCGGTTTGTGGAACATTTAAGTCCAACCTGAAAAAGGGGTTGGACTAAATAGGACGCGTCAGTGCTTGTTACGAAAGACAAGCTGCTCGTGTTACCTGCATCATTTTCTACACGCACTGGGGATCAAGAGAGGTATTTCATTAAGCAGGAAAAAAGAGGCAGCTTTGACAACTCTCCACCAGTAACTCAGGGGGTTTTGTTTTGGATAAAGTGCTTGAGTGTCTCGTCACTCCTTAGAATAATCGTAATGCACATGTTTAGGGCAGCGCAGACTTCCTTCCTGAGCTTAGTTTCCCCAGAAGCCCCTTTAAAAGTGCTACTTTCCTGATTATATGGAATTGATAATACAGAAGATACAGATATTCTGAGGAGATGCAACTCAATTTTTTTGATCTAAAAAAGTAAATTTGACTGAAAGAGATTTTCTAGTTTTGTTGGAATTCTTGAACTTACATGTTATAAATAAGAAAAAATGAACGAATAAATAAAAATGAGGTTAAATGCCATAGTCTTGTTCCTGTTAAACTTGACATGTTATAAATTAATTTCATTTCTTGTGCACATTCTACAAGGGCAAGAAATTGAAAAGCTTGTGCTGCTTGTTGTCAGTATGGTCAACAGGCGGAACGTAATTTCAATTTTGGTACAAAGGTTTAAATTGATTGTTGGAATCTTAATAAGATGAGTACATAATCCAAATTGTGTGTGGCATGCTTTTTGTGCAGATGGCAAGTAAATGGGATTTTAAAGAATAGGAGTAATCGCTTTAACAAGAAACAAGATTAAAACTGTGAACCAGTTTGGCTATACTAAGAGATTAAAAGGATCAGCGCTATTTGTTTGGAGCAGCATCTACAACTCGATCCGAATGTCCTTTCACCAGCGCTGGTTAATAAACTGTTGCCAAGAACCAAATATGCAACAATTGCACTTGATCGACTCGAAAGTTACTGTGGGAAAAACGTCAAAATCTGCTTAAGAACCGCGACAAGTTGCTCAGTAAAAACTCCATTTGCAGTGACAATAGCCACAGCAAAGCTCTAAAGTTAAATAATTCCCCTTTGCATAGAAACACGAAGCGGTACTTTGCTTTTCAGACTTGTGTGTGTGTGTGTATGTGTGTGTGTGAGTGTCCTCAGTGCTACTACTGCGAAGCTTCGAGGGGGGGGTGCCGTCTGGTTGTTTTGCTGGTGTGTCTCAGCTGGGCTGCTGGCTGAGAGCGGGCCAGGCCAGGGTTACATTCAGCTGCTGGTTATGCTGGATCAGGGATGTGTGTCTGTAGTGGAGGACGAGCTCCCTGAGCGATGAGTACAGGTTGTAGGGCTCGGCGAAGCCGTATCCTGTGGACGTCCGGTAGATCACACAGTGTTTCACGTCCCCGTCCACTCTGCAGGAGAGAAAGTCGTCGCTTTTGGGTGCCCCGCCTCACTTTTGGAACGGCGTACGCAGTCTGGTAGACCAAAGCAAAGATACTCACACAACAGAGCAGGCGAAGGAGCCTCTCTGGGTCTGACTGTCTCTGATTAGGAATGTCCCGTCCCTCCTCCCTCTGAGCAGCTCCTCTGCCTCTTTGCGTCTCATGCTGCCAACATACCAGCTCCTCTCCTCCTGGTGCATTTCATCCTCCAGGGTGTAGGGGCTGGAACACAGACAGACTGGTTGAGCAGTAGAACTTCTTAAAAGTGTTCGGTGTGGCTTTTTTGTTCTATCCATAACCCTAATTTGAGCGGCTGTACAGTGTGCTGTTGTCAGAATGTATTTCCCGGTATGCAAACTCATTATAATCAACCAAAATAGCAGTTCAACAAGAGCAATGAGCTGATGACTCCACCACTCGGGTTATTCTTCCAAATGAATAGACTCTTGTGTGATCTTTTAAAGTGGAGTTCAAAGGTCTGGACTTATAGAGTTGCATTTCAGTCGTTCAGACTTTGTTAGATTAAATGGAAAGCCTGCACTTAAATACCGCTGATGTATTTTCTACTTTTGTCAGTTTTGCTTTGCAATACTCACTCTTCTTCCTCGTCCCTCAAACCCATCCATTCGTCAATCTGGCTCTGCCGGGTGCCTTGCTGAGTGAGCCAGCTAAAGCAGAAACAAACACAGTTAGAGGACCGTAACACAAAAAGGTTTTTGCTCATTTTACTGTAATGTTTGTTCTGAGGTCGGGAACTGACGAAGAGGGATGAAACAAAAAACAAATACCTATTGGCAGTTACTGTGTTTTATATTCAAAGCAGTCAAATGCCTTTGGAATTTTGACACTCAGAAAACGAGGTATTCTTCTTTTTTTAGTTTATTTATGAAACGATTATAACTTAGATCACGTTTTTCTTAATTTGTTGCCAAAAATAACAACTTTGTAGGGAAATAAAGTCGTGTGCAATGAAAACTGTGGTGGGCAGGGTCTTCTCTCCTGATAAATCCCCATACCAAACATATTGGAGATCAGCAGCTGTGGCAATAAGAAGGGGAACAGCTGATTGCTCTGCCTATGTTTATAACTCAGCTGTGTCGCTGGTATGTACGTTTCAACTCAAAATGTTATCTCATCCCAGATCAATTTCATCCCATCGCTCTGTTGGGGTCGGGTTCCGAGTTGCTGCAAGGTTTGGGGCACGACGGGACAAGATGCCACGGCCATACAATATACAGCACACTTATGAGGCAACTCCAAAAACGATGTCAAGACGCCAGCTTAACAAATGACAATAGATCTAATCATCACAGAGACCATCAAATGTCAGAGCAAACCACCCCGCGCGACACAGAAAGTTACTAAAACCTGAATAATAATACAGCGCTGTGAAAGCTAATGAATGCGAGCTCTTAATTTTAAAACGCTCTGTAAACACTGGGGCACATTTCTGACACATGACCAGGATATTTATAGCAAACAAATCAAAGTGATTTCCCTTTTAAAAAAGGAAGTCGTCATCATTCTTTGGGGTTGAGGGTACTGTCTCATTCTTCTGCCTCCATCTTTTTAGGAAAGACCTTAAGATATTTTTGAAGACACGCAGTCTGAAGAATTCCCGTGGCACATTCTTCTTTTAAAAAAAATAAATCAGCGTAGCCGTGATATTTGACGCAAAGTATCTCATGTGAGGACCGTGATGTGATGCAGAAACTTACAGCAGGTACTGATCTCTGATCCTCCTGAGCTGCACAAGGTCCGGCTTTAGGGTGCTCAGCTTCCTGTCCACCTCCATGTGAGTCACAGCCTTCTTCCTCAGCTCCTCTTCCAACTTCTTCTTGCTGTTGTGGATCTCTTCCACCCTCAGCTGCAGTTCGTCCGAGTTACTCTGAATCCTGCGGGGCGAAGCATGGACCTCAGTACACAAAGTCTGAATCGCTCTCAGAGGCAACAAGAGACGGAACCCATGACAATGTTAAAAAAAAAAAAAGTGGTGGCAGGTGTCTGGAAGCGTACTTGTCATTTTTTGTGCTGCTGTCTAACGTGAGGAACATGTCGATGTATTCCTTGCTGAAGCGCTCCTGAGTATTGCACTCCTCTTCAAATATCCGAATGATTTCACTGAATGCCTCAATTGCTGTCCGCTTGCTCTGGAGTTCCTTTAGGAAAACAAAAACACCAAGAAAAAAGACGAAGAACCTGTATTTAAGATAAATTTAATGGGTCTTGTAGCCAAGGCTGTGCTCAAATTTAAGTATCTTGATAAGATCTCTAAGGGTTTTTTTTTTTAAATGAGTAGGTGTCTGCGGTACCTGGGAGGTTTGGTTCAGTTCCTCAAAGAGGCGGTCGTACTCTCGACTCTTCTCTTTGTATCGATCCTGAAACATCTTCAGCTGTTCTCCAGCCGCATCAATGTCCACCTCCATCACAGCTTGCTGCTGTGCAGACAAGAATATGAGGGATTCATGACCAAATTCCTTTGAAATATCTTGTTTGATTGATTTTTTTTCTCCAAGTCGAAGTCTGGAAATACCACTTAAAAGAGATGAATAGCTGCCTCCTTTCAAATCAATTCTCATGCAGAAAATCATAAACAAAATGGATGCATATAGATCAGTTGTAATGAAAAGTGGTCATTTTTCATTTGGTGTGCTCAGCCAAGCCTTAATTCACCTACCTGCTGGTGTCTGGACAGTGGGTAGAGCAGCTGCGTGTCCAGTTTGGAGTTGTACTGGGCCAGAGACCTCTTCTGATAGTACTGAATGAGCTCCACCACTGAAGGGAAAGTCAGAGGCTCCGAGAAGCCGCACTTCCCCTCACGATGGAAGATTTTTATTAGCCTGTTGTAGCCGTCTTTTCTGCAAAGTTCATAAAATACCTGTTATTTATAGGCCATTTTAGCTCGACCCCTCGTTTTTTCTGTCGAGTCTGAATGGGCTCAGGTTCTCAGCACAAACTGAAGATTTCTGCTCCCGCAGCCCAAATAAAAACAGCTCTGACTTACATGTAAAAGACCAATTATAAGTTGTGAAAATGGGAACGAAGTGTTAACTGTTTGTGTGTCTGTTTGTTCAGACAAATGTGAGGCAGAAAAAATCCATATTTTATAGGTGCTTTGTCAGTAATATCCTGTAGGAGATATTATGCCTTTATATCATGTTATCCATGTCTTCAAAATCCATAGAAAATCCAAATAAAGCCATAATTACCGTAATGTCAGAGTGTATTCCCCTTTAATCCCACTTGAGGAGTCTCGGACCAGAAATGTGCCATCTGGGGTGTTTCTCATCATTTCATTGACTTCTTCTCTGTTCAACACAAAACGGCACAAGGCACTCTTTATTTTACCACACAAAACCGAAACAGAAAAGATCATTTAAGAAAAACTGCACGATGGCGTGTAGATGCGCGCTTTTGTGCCACAAAAACCTGCAACGTTTCTGAGGAGAAACCTGTGGATGATAAGCAGACTGGGAACACTGGAGATCTGGATGGTTCCTACCTGCTGATGTTGCCCCAGAACCACTCTGCGTTGGCCAGCTGGTCGTCAGCACTGCAGTCATAGGCTGCCATCGCTTTAGTTGAATTGCCTTCCAATTGAAAATCTGACCACAAAAAGGGATAACTTCATCAAGTCACCAAACCACAAACTACCAAAAAGAAAACAACTTTGCTTTAAATGGAAAAACGAGCTGGTATAGATTTTTTTTTTTCTCTCATATCTATATAATGTATTGTTAGCTGTTATGAGGCAGCCTTATTTTTATTAATATTTTGATTGAAGCTGGTCTCACAGATGGAATTATTAGTGTTGCTATTGTTATAATTTTTTTTCTCACAGTATGTCACTGTTATTTCAGGGTCGCTTTATCCTATTATTGTATAACAAAAACTCCAAACTTCCTGAATATGGAAATGAATCCAACTAGTGAATTAACACATCTTTTTTAAAGAAGCTTTCTCAGTACAAAATTACATAGGATGAGCCAAACAGCCAAAACACACAGGTGTTTACATGCCCAAAACAATGTCAACTTAATTTGAAAAAAAAAAAAAAGAATTCCACAGTCAATTACAAGCAAACCAAGGAAGTGTTGGTCAGTACCTCCTTTCTTGCTGATGTTGCTTTTTAGAGCAAGGGTCCCATCCTCTTCTCCAACGTGCAAAGAGAGGTCCTGCTGGAAGTCGGCCCGTCTGCCAGAATGCACCGCAGCGCTGCTCTGACCCTCCTCTACCAGCGGGAGCTCTAAAACATCAACCGCACACCCCCCGGAGTTACTCCCAGTGTCGGCTCAGGACAGCCTGTGTGTGTCCATCTGCGTTGGGGGGCTGTCAGCACACACAGCTGGCCCCCTGACAAGACTCCAGAGGGAGATATGGTTGTGTTGCTCGGTCTTGCACCATGCGGGGGGACTCTGTCCAGACCAGTGCGCTGACAGGTGACAGTGTCTGACTGCCTAAAATACCAGGGCTGGCACTCCTCAGCGCTCCGCACTTCGGGCCAGCTCAGTGCCGCGACCTCGCCTTGCCCCGCCTAACAAACAACAGTTGTCCACAGCGGGATGCCATGTCAGCCCGAGGTGGGCCTGCGTGTGGCCATTAACCTGACATTAGGAGGGAGCATTACCTGGAATTTTTTTTAAAAGTCCATTCAGGTGGGACATTTGTATTTGTACTTAGTGAAGACGTGCAGTCGTGAGCGGATCCGCCCTCTCAGTGAGACGTGTGGCACGAACAGTGGATGTAAATCATCCGCTCCACACTTGCGACGGCATGCCTGGAGATGTTTAGGATTGCTGCTGCGGCCCGAGGCGTATGCGCCAGGAATCAGACTGATGTTGATGTAACATTAGAAAGGGGGCAAAGCTCATAAACCCCAACCCCTTCGAACGACGAAGCTCTGTCAAAACATGCCTGGTAGCAAAATCTGAAGATCTACTCGGAATAAATGCTGAATCCACTGAACTACTGAAACAAGAGAGCAGTCTCAGATATTTCCCTTTGAGTTGCTCATTATCTACATTATTTACTGTTACTTATTTTTTTGCGTTACCAGAAAATTCTCTTTATTAGGAACTGATCCTACAAAGATTCCTAAAACAAATTTCTTATCATTGCTGTTTTAGACTGAATTATTTCATTAGAATTTGATTCTGAACACAGTGTAATGTAATTAGATTGTAATTAAGTTAATGCATAAATAGGCAACAAATCTACTACTTTTACAAGTATATTAATCTCATTAAGTTTTATGATTTATGCGCTATTAAACTGCATTTAATTTTATGACATAGATATATAAATTGCTTGCATACATTTTTTTTATTGATTTGCTAAATTCAGCCATTCAGCATTTAGACTCAGATTGATTACAATGCTAAATTCAAATTCCTAAAGTGACATCAAGAAAAAATTAGAATAAAATCTCTCCAAGATCAAGATTTATTTAGACATTATTTAGACATCTAAACTATTCTTTATTATTTGAATATATGATAATTTAATATTTCCTCTGATATCATGAAAAAATTCTAACTTAAAAAAAAAAATTAAACCATGCAGACAAAGCTGAAAGACGCTGAGGATTAAAGCGGTTTATCCTCTTTTCCTTCCGTTCTCCATGTCCATGATGCTGATGTTTTACTGAGGATCTAAGCTATCATGCAAACTTTGATAAACAGCTTTTTTAAGAAGTGGCCTCAGCACTGAGGATACGTTGGGATGACAGTCAGGCATATGAGGTGCATGAAATGTTGCATCTTTATTTGCCCGTTACTGTCTTCTGACGATTACACAAAAACACTGCAAAGTCGTTTTTTTCACATTTTTCCTCATGACAGCTGAGCTTCTAAATAAGAAAATTATTATCAGACCTGCTGTAGATCAAGTTTTTTTTTTCAGGAGAGAAAATATTTTCATGATCCAGTTCAAGCCCAGCATTGATATGATATTGTTCTTTGTAGAATATTAGAACTGGACATGGCCCTCCACTTGTTTAATAACTATTTTTGCTGCCCTGTTCTGTGCTATGCCAATATGTGAAGCTTTTTTTTCACATCTCCCACAGAACTTATGGGTCCCGCTTATGATATAATAACTTTCCTAAACAGGTTCTTATGCAACTTCACAAAAACGATCTCTCATGCATATTTTAGTACTGAAATATCAATTATTAACCATCATTTAGTCCCAGTTGCTTATGTTTTTTTTTTTTCATTTTTAATGAATTCCTCATTCATCTTTATTTGCCTCCTCATCTGATTATTGAAACAGAAAACCATTCATTATCATCCCACTGATTTCTGGATCGATGCAGTAAAAGCCCGTGGCACCTTAATCTTACCTTCATCTGCTGGTGGAGGCTCAGCCCTTGAAGCCGTGGGCACGTCTGCCTTCTGATGTGATTGGTCAAGCAGTGATGACATCATCACAGGAGCCATAGGATAAGGGTCAGGATTATCCCCCGTGCGTGTAGCGTTCTCATTCATGACCACGGCTTCATCCCTGAGGTGGAGGGACTCTATCGATGACAGCGGCGGATCAATCTGCCGGAGCTCCTCCTCTGTACAAAGCTGGAAACTGTTGGCTGCCATTTTTAATAACACTAACTGAACAGTCCAGCCTGATTTATATTTCCTATATTTAAAAAAATATACTGAGTAAGTGTAGCAGAGAGGGTGAATGGCGGTGCCACAGGGAAGCTGATCACATCCTATCAGCTCGCAGGTGAACTCATGGTTAAGGTTGGTGAGACTGGACACACCATGGCTGCCCGGTGTTGTGGATGCGGAGCGTGTTCCTCAGGCCGACCCGCGCTGGCGCTCTCATCATACAGCAGAGTAATGGCATCGCCAGCAGGTCCTGTGCTTGCACTTCGCACTGCTCATCTGGGAATTTCGGCCCACAAGCTACGAGCTACTTCACAGTCACATTCTTTAAGGGATCCATACTAGGAAGCTGCCCAGCACAGTCACAGTTCAAGGAGTTGAAGAGCTTTTTTTTTTTACACTTTGAGTAAATAGATGCTCCACTATTCGATTTCTTCTTTATGAATCACCTCTCCCGAAAAAACCTGGATCAGAGAAGAAAGAAACGATGAGGAATGACAGGCTAAAATCAGTTAAATGATATTCATCATTTCACAATCTTATCCCTTTACTTTCCTATTAGGGGCTTTTAAAAGAATATTAATGCCCACACAGTCAGGACCCTCATTTACTTTTGCAGTCTGAGGCAGCACATATAGTGCAACTTAAAAGGTGCTTATCAAAATGTTTTCTGCTGTTTGGTGACTAAGATAAAAGTAAATCAAGGTCCATGCTCCTCAGAAAAAAAAAGAGAACTAGCCTAGAAGATTAGAATATTTCTGATGTGAGCATCCTCAGAAGTCACATCACAGGATGTCAAATATGTACGCGAACAAGAGGAAAAACTCCTGTAGCGTCGAATAAAAGACGCTTCACTTTTTGCATTTTCCATTATCAGCCCACGACAGAAATCAGCCCGTTACAGCAACATCTTCACATAGTGGAGAGGTTTTCAATTCTCTGAGATTTTTTTATTTTTTTTGGGGGGGGTCAGCTGTTCACAGATCCTTAATATTTTTTCCCTCCTCTCTTAACCCATCCGCTCAGAGAAACGTCCATTAGACAGACACTGAGAAAGGGCCACAGTTCTCCAGAGAGCCGTATCCTCTCAGTTATGTCCTGTTGAACCAGTAACGGTCCTACACTCAGAGGCCCAGAAGAGAGTTCTCATCGATGTTTGGGCTGTTGTAAGTTCATGGAACCGTTAAGCTTTAGACCAAAATCCCCTTCCTTGTTTTTAACGTATGTAAATTCCCCGATGATTTCTCCTGCCGACTCATGGCAGTCATTTTCAACCCTGTGTTATTGTCTTGTATTTTTGCCGCAGTCCTCATTGAGCTCAGCCCTGCTTGCTGCGTCTTCTGTGTTTAAGTGAAGTGTTTATTACAAAATTACGAAACATGAATTGACTTTTCTTATTAAAACATTTCAACAAAAGTGCATGCTGCTGTTGACTCTTGTATTCATGAAAATTGAATATATTTAGGGATTCAAGACATTAACTGGCAATTCATGGCCTTTTTTCTTTATTATCAATTTCTGTTCTCACAGTAATTGATAGATAAAACAGAGATGAGTGAATAACTGCTTAGATAATAATAGATAGAATAACAAATAATGCATAGGTGGGTTGTTCTAATCATCTCAAATGCTGATCGGTATCGTTCTGTGTTTGTGATGATCATTTGTTATATTTTCTCCTCTTAAAAACGTGATTTAAGACCTGAGCAGCATAAACGTAAAATTGAACTATTAAGCAAAAAGTACATTTCAGAGATCAGCTTCAGTAAAAACACGGGTCTTTTTTGCTCCACAAAAATAGAAAATTGAAAAAAAAGCCCATCAAAATAGACATTTGGCAAAGTGCTAATGAGGTCGCCAATCATTTTCTTGTAATCGTAAACTTAGCACATCACCATCAACAGCAATGGACGCGGTAGGCGACAGAACGCAGATTCATGTTTCTAAATTGGCGTTTTTGTTCAAACTGCATATTTTTGTCGGTGGGAAGCCCTCGTGACTACAACATATTCACATATAGATATGACTCTGAAGTATTATATCATAAAGCCCTTTACATGATAAGGATTCATGGGGGGCTGCAGTATAATCCCCTTCTCAAGCAAGGATTAGTCAGCGATTTATTCTTGTCGTTTTTATGCACGCTCAAATCCTACTGAAGGAATTTGGTCATTTAGTTGCCTTAAAAGAAAGGAAAATTACCATAAATTTGAATCAAAACTTTGACAAACATCATAAAAATCTGAGAACGTGAACGTCCGTTAGACGTTCTTTTACTAAAAACGATTTGACATTTCAACACGATTGTCATTATTACAATCAAAATTATTTGAGATTTCAAAATAAAAATTTTGGTTGTAGTATTTTTCTCCAAATTTATTTTCTCGGTTAGATTTCTTGGTCAGGTTTTTTGAAAAGTTTCCAGCTTCTATTAAAAAAAAAAAGCACAAAAACTTCGGTGGCACTAGATCCCGAATGAAAAGTCGAAGGGTTGAAAATGGCGTCCAAGTAGGATTGCTTCCAATCGTTCGCAGCCATTAAGTCGCCCTGGATTGATGCTCTTGGTTGACCACATTGAATTCACGCTTAGTCGACGCGGACAGGCTTTAACCAAACGCCAAAAAGACAAATCACTGCATAAGTTCCATGTGTCACCTTTTCATTTGCCAAAAAAAAAGAAATTCAATTCAAATATATGTCCATCACATTTACACGGTCCCTATATAATGATGCCATTTTTTTTGTCAATTTCGGCAGGCTGTTTTTTTGTTGTCGAAAATCATAGAATTGCAGTTCAGTTCAAATGAAGGTTATAAACTCAGAGCGGTTTAGTCGTCAAGCCATTGCCGACAAAAAGCACCGAAGAGCATTCAAACGATTTAACTTTCTCATCATACGACAGCGCTCTGCTGGAAGTCCTACATCCCTCACCTCTCCTATTTCACACCATCTCTGCTCGTTTTGGAGGACTTATGCTTTGGTCTATCGAGAAGCGTCGCAGCCAAAAACCAAGAAGGAGACTACTGATGTGCGCCATGTTTTCCCGGCGCTTCCCTTCGTCCTGCAACTAAGCTTTGAACGATGAAGGAGACGTGGAGGCTGAATGGGCACAGAACTTCCAAAATGGCAACTTCTGGTGCAGGCATCCTCCAGCCCGGCTGGAAAAACACCCCATCATCTGGAAACTTAGCTAAACAGGACGGTACGTACCTACCTGGGCCAAGACAGAGGAGATCAGGCGGCATGGGAAGCCAGTGTCTCATCGACGTCCATTAAGCGGCTAAGAGACGTGGCTGGACGCACACGTGGGTTAGATCAAACCAACCACCGGCCTCTGTCCTCACGCCATTCTGTGTCCCTCCACCCCTCACTCCTCCTATCCCGCGCAGCTTCTCCTCCCGTGTCCTCCATCTTCTACAGATCCTGTCCTCTCGGCTGTTCTCCGTCCCCTCGGAGTACCACTTTTTTTTTCCCACGCTGTCAGTCTCCCACTTTTCTGGACTCCTCCTCACAGACTGTCACGTCCTCATAAAAATCCAGCTTTTTCCAAGTCATTGCACCCCCCGTTTGGACTTTGTCGTGCACTGCGCAGAAGCAATTCCACTGATATGAAAGGTGAAATCCCCCCCCAAAAAAGCCCGTGCGAATATTACTCTTTGAAAAAAGAAAAAAAAAGAAAACCATAAATGCGGTGCATTTTTAAGTGCAGAAGCTGGCAAAGGAGGATCAAAGGTAAAAAAATAACAGGACTGCTCTCCACACCGCAACTCTTTTTCACAGTTTGAGAGCACAGTGTGGATGCACAGTGGGGTTACAGAAGCATGAGAATGAGTCGATTGGGGGGGGGGCGGGTGGAGGAAACTCCTATATAAATAAATAAGGAAAGGATGCCACTGTTGCTATACAGAGTGAGGGGCTTAGTGGTCTCCTGAAATCCTATTGGCCCGTCTGTTGCCATGTGCTCAGCAGTCAGCAGAGATGCTGCTAACAAATCAAGGAAATGTTCTAATATTAGACTGTATGTTTCTAGGCAGCAGGAGCCCCTGACCTCTCAACTCCGACAGCGTTACGTTCCACTTCACAGATCAGCATAATGAGAGAAGTGATGTGGAAGTAACCGCTTAAAAAACTGTTACGGCGCGGTGGACAAAACAGCCGACCCCAAACCCCTCCACCACAACTCCCTCCACGGTGTCCCAGCCCGTGTGATTGCAGTAAGTCACTCCGAGGAGGGAAGAGAAGATACCATTTTTCTCAAGTTTTGAAAGATTTGACGGATTACATGTCGGAAAATCCCCAGTGTTTTTTAATTCTGTGTAAATTATGATTCTGTGTCTCTATTTATGTACGATGTATAATACTTTTCCATCCTCTATCCTGTTGTGATAATCTAGGTCTATACATAAAAAATTCAACTGCTCTGGTGAGCAGCATAAGGAGGCGATTCATTTGTAAAGCACACAAAACTGAATTTATGAGGAACCTTTAATTACTGAAATTCTGTCTGCATTTCTAATTTATCTGATAAAATGATGACCAGATCACTTGAGAAAATACCTTTTTGCTGGACATTTTAATCAATTTCCAAGAGCTGAGAAAACACAAGATCGTCATTTAGGCTGATTTTTGTACTGTTTGGCATGTTCAGCAATGCAGATGAGGTGGTGTTGCAACGCATGACTCTCTCTGTCAGAAGTAGGGCACAGATGATTTGAATTTTTCTGTTTCTCTGTCACATTCCTGTCTTCTCTGAGCATTGACTTCGTAAAGCAAAATGGGATATCACCATGATGTGAAATTTGATTTGAATTTCTAGAATAAATGGCTGAAAATGTCCAAAAAAGGCAAAGTATTAGAGATAGATATGTCACAGGGAAACATTCTAAAACTTCCATCTTAAACCAGTTTTTTTCATGGCTCATTAAAAGAACATAATGTATGTCTTGAGACACCGCCTTAAGTTACAATACAAACTCAATTACATGTAGGCATAAATTCCACAAAATCTGTGATTAACTGATTAAAAAACCCTTGAATGGAAATAAACTCAATTAATTATTTCCTGACTAATTCCTGACTAATGAACATGGTTTTTCATTAGAACAGTCCTCGAAGTATTCAAGCTGTTAGAAAAGCCTAATAAGCTAAAACAAAAATGCAACCTGATACCATGATCAGTTACCACATTAAGACCACCTTCAAACCTCAGGCCTTTAATTGAAAACGATTTTAACTCTATTATAGTTACTTTGCTAAATGGCAGGCCATCAGCTTTTTTCTACACAAATTCTTGATATACACAAACGCTGTGTTAAATAATTGGTCAGGCAACATATGGGACATGTTACTATAAGATTCTTGTGATTTAACTGATTTAAAACATTTAAGGGATATTGGATGTTGAAAATAACTCTAACGAAGCAGTTCGTATGCAAACATTGTTAATATGGTGATTTGAGTCTATACTAAGCATCTTTAGCTGTGGATTACGTTGCATCAATCTATTTTGAAGCTTTCACACTGGATTCGTAAAAGCCAAATATCTGCATTATAACATGTTACTGGCCTGTTTGGCTGTGTTTGACCCAGATCTAAATGGGGGCTGTAAATGTACAAGAAATAGTTAACGAACCACTGAAATTAAGGATATGCCATTTCAAATTTCCTGACAGCAAAGCCTTGGTCCTCTGTATCGTATGAATTAAAGCATAAATGGGTTCTGGACCTAAGCCAGGAATTCCATTTTTATTCTAGGGTATGACATTAAAATAGGGGTTTGCTATGGATTTTTTTTTTAGGATGAAAACTTTTCTTATTGTGTGTGTGTTGTGTAAGCTATAAAACTGGTACCTGATATATCCCACATAACTGTTTAAAATGTGTCAATGTCATGAAATACAGCATTGACCCTGACTGAAGCCAAAATGCCAGTCATCTCAGTTTTTTTATGCTGTGTTGTAGAATTTTTTTTAAATATCCCAGCTACTTTTACATATTTAGACTCAAATATTGACAGTATCATCACAGAATAATACTATTATATACTAATACTAATGGCCCATCATTGTGTCCTCAGTGATGACTACCTTTTCAGGCTCATTCTTGTATTTAAAATCTTTGTTAAAATTATATACGGAACAGACAGAAAATAAAGACAAGTTCAATATTGTTCCATTTTTTTCATTGGGGAGAAAGAAGTGTAGAAGTACATTTGAGCAATGTTTGAAATCTTCTATAGACACATTCATCAGCGTTTCTGTAAATATGTTTATTAGAGAATATTATAAAGAGCATGTAAATATTTCTGTGAATGAAAAGTGGCTGATTTTTTCTTTTTAAATTGCATTTAATCGAGAAGATATTCATAATTTCATGCTAAGGATTCATGGGCTCAATAATATTAACCAAAAAAGGACAGTGAACAGAGAGCATACAACGCGGACGAAGTGCTTTATGTGACTGGTAACCAAGGTACGCTAAAGAAGGTAGATGGCAGTAGAGCGACACACACCAGCAGCGTTGCATGAACTTAACTGCATTGCTTTCTGCATTAAGGATGTGCGAGCAGTCCAGGAAGCTACAGTGATCAATGTCCTTTAAATATGCATTATTGTCATCTAATGTGAGCAGGTTTCCTTATGCACTTTTGCTACTGGTGTGTGTCACCTTTAATAATAAAGAAAAACAATTAGTGGTGTGCAAATAATAAATGTTAGGTTTAATCTCCTATCATGGGGGGGAATAGAAGGTGTGGAAGCTTAAAATCCACAGAATAGATAAGTATATAACATAAAACATTCACAACCTTTATGGAAAAATAGCTTTCTCATATTAACAATACTTATAAATGCAGAACATATGGCAATATATAAATACATATGTGTCTAGTAAATTCCAGTGGAGCTGTTCACAGCCCAGATCCAGTTAGATTTGCTGTTCTTCATCCCGCCCCGGAGAGCAGCAGAGATTGTCAGTCTACAGGCCAGGACTTGTGTGTGCTTGTGGGGCTCCTGGGCTGGGTCTTTGGACTTCCCTGAAAAGCACAGCACAAACTATAGATACCAAGATGTAAAAAGGGAAAATAATTCACACACCATTATTTAAAGTGCAAAAAAAATGTATATCTCTATTTTGGAAAAGGCTCAGCTTTTGTCAGTCTACAGTTCAAATTTTTTTGTCTCTTCCTGATTGTCCAACATACCAGAAAACATGAATGGGAAGCCCCCTGTTCACACCATTTCTTAATCTTGTGTAAAAGAATAAATAGAATAAACCTTTGGAGAATACAGAACAACAGCAGCACCTTAATAAGTGAACACAAAGGGCTTTTTTGAAATACACATAAAGCATTTCCTGTCATTCACTGTAACTGATAGTGATGCCTCCATTTTTGTTATAATTTGTGTTTAAATTTCTATATAATGATCTATAATGATAATTTCTACAATTATGCCAAAACCTGGGTATCTAGCAAGAGCCATTTGCCCAAGGTTTGCCCCTTCTCCCTCGCAGCTCCAGGCTGCAGACCCCTGTGACCCTGGTTGGTATATAGGTCGCTGTAATAGGATGTGCTAAGGCCTGAAGAGGGCAGCAGCGCACCACCCATCAGTGCTGCCCACACCCAAACTGCAGCTAGTTGTGTGCCGTGGAACTTATCCCAACTCAAAATCCAAGACAGTGATGTACTACACTGGGCAGTCAAGTAGTGAATGGGATCAGCAGTTTGCTTAATGCTACTTCCCCTAAATATTCCAAACATATTCCCCTGTACATTAGAACCCCTAATCATTGAAGAAAATTAGGAGAAAGAATAAATTTCTTGTGGTTGTGATCATCGAAACAATCATTTTAGACCTTTTAACACTATGGTTACAATGTGGCTTAAATGCTAATCTGAAATTGATAATTGTCACGTGCTAGTGGCGTGCACAGCTCCTCAGACGGTAAACGGACTCACCACGGCCGCAGTCTGGGTCTTGGCGTAGTTCATATGAGCATAAAGGAGCACAGCTGTGTCATTGTGGGCCGCCTCCAGTGCAATAGACAGAGCATTGCTGCCGTCCTGCAGACATCAGAGAGAGCAAAAGACAGTTCACTGACCGTGAAAACCTGAGAGTTTAACTGGAACAAAGGGCTTCAGAGTTTGAGATGGTCCGCGTGATTGATATTGTTCACGGTCGTTTATTTTTCCAGTGGGTTCAGCCTCCTATCATGCATCTCTGATTAGTCACTTAAAAGCAAAACCTAGGACATAAAGTCCTGGATCTTTACAGTTTCTTTGATTTTGTTACTTTGAAATTCTTCTTCCATTAAAAGTGCATGGTAAATTAGGAGCGTTGGATTTCTGTGTCTTGTATAGCTTTATTCTTCCACTGCCTGTTTAAGCTGTTGGTTAACTTCAGTCAATTTTAGGAAAATATTCAATACAGCCAGCAAAGAACACGTCTATGATGATATCTGTCTTCTGTCAAATGTCTCAGACCATAGGACAGAGGTGGGAGAGCCCTTGCATATTCTAACTCAGCCTCAGTCAAATAATTTTTTTTGTTTTTGTTGTGTTTTCAGTGGATTGGGGAGGAGGGGGCTATTTCCTATTCCCTCCCCTTCAGCCCAGCTGCACTGCACTGAAACACAATCCAGGAGCTGCTTCCACCAAATGGCCAACTCATTTTGGCACAGATGTGAACACTCGTACGTCTGCCTGGTTTGTCTTCAGGCATCCAGACCAATCCACTGTAAAATCACGTGAAATATGTAACTGTGGCTGAGCAGCTCTTCAGAAGTTGCTGCTGGGCCATCATGCGGCTCATTTGAAATATGGAGAAAAAACTGTAAAAGCCTGCGAGGCATTGTCTGAAATCATCATGCCTGAACAGAGGCTCGGTAGCTTTTTCATTCTTCCCCTGGGACGCTGGAGTAGCACGGGGATTGTGTTTCCTGTGTTCACGCTGATTGGAGTCAAAGACAGGTGACACTAATCTGATTGTGGCTCTTCAGCTTTCAGCCCAGAAAATATTTTAAAGAAGGAGAAAAGTGTGACAAGAGGGGGGGAAAACTGAACGAACAAGTTTCCCATGAGGAGCAGTTTCCTGAACGGACTGAGCCAAATGCCTCAGCCCAGTTGTTGAGTCTGCTAAAAACATCTCAGTGCTTCTTTTTTTTGTGCTTTTTTTCTCTCTCCGGCGTTCAGCTCGGAGCGGGAAACCGAAACGCTCGCTGAAAAGGCCGTGAGCGCAAAACGGCTTACATTATCCACGATGGAGATGTCGCAGCCCGGCTGCTCCAGGAGCAGCTTGACGATCTCGGCGCGGCCGTGCTCGCTGGCGCACATCAGGGCCGTGGATCCCTCGTCGTCCTGCACGTTGACGTCGGCGCCGCACTCCAGCAGCGCTCGCACCATCTCCTGTCGGCCGTGGCTCACGGCCAGCATCAGGGCCGTCTGGCCGGCCTGCGGAAGCAGAAGAAAAAAGGTCTCCCTGTAAATCTAAACGTCGTTTTCGTAGAGCAGATAACTCAGAACGAGGTCAGAAGATTTCCTTTAGGTACAGATTTAGATGAATGGCAACTAAAAGCAGACTGATGAGTCCCACTTTTTCGTCACAGCCTTATTTGTACACATCCCATCATAAAAACCTTTCATGTAGAACTCTTTTGGAACTGCTGTGTCTTTCTATTCGGACGTGACTGTCTTTTTTTTTTTTTCTGTTTAGATTGCGTCCGGCAGCTCTGTTCGTCTTTCCCACAGCAGGCTCGCCGGTCCGGCCTTTCAACAACAGTCCTCATTGTAAATTTTTGTCCCGGCTGTGTCAGTGATCGCCCCATTCATTCGCTCATTTATCACTTCCTTTATAATAGACACTCGGTAGTAGGTAATAAATTCAATTTCAGGCTCTTAATGACATTTTTCAGCACAGTTGAAGTCATACACCAGCAATTTGAACATCTGTAAAACAGGCCGGTTCATTCTATTTCTTCAGAGTTAAATGGGAAAAACCTGGGCCTTTGGTTTTCGTCACTCCTTTGATGACTGGAATAGGACATGAATATGAATCCTAACAATTGCAAACTGCCTGTAGTCCATTGAAACTTAAACTGAAAGAAAACTATGCAGTTTAGAGCACAACTCCCCAAAAGCTGCAGCTTCACTTGAAAAAGAAAACGGCAAGAAATGTGCGGATTTCATTTCGGAACCTAAAAATCCATTGCACGCTGTAGGTTTTATTTCTCACAGCAGCAAAAACAAGCAGCAGTAATTAGATTTATAGTGACTGATGCCATAAAGTGAGTCCCATGACTGCAGTGAAGGAACCAGTCAGGCGCCACGTACGCTGCACAGCCTGATTAAATCAACCGCAGAGATAAAAACCCCTCAAAAATGTAAAGATTCCCGTGAATGAGCTGTGTATAATGTTTGGCTACACATTTGCGATCATTCTCTTACTTTACAGTGCCTCACCACCACACATTTTTACACCTTCCAGAAGAACTAACTTTTTCTTTCGTAAAACTGCAGTCATTCAAAGGAGGTTCTCACCAAGATGTTCATTTAAATGTTGAGAAAAGGGATGTTTTTTGTTAAAGAGATCATCACAGAACGGAGGGCGACTTGCCTGGCTGGCTTTGGCGTTGACGTTGCCTTGACTGAAGAGCTTTTTGACCACGGCCATGTCGTCTTCCTCCTTCACAGTGGACAGGGCGGCGAGCATGATGGCTGTGTAGCCCGCCTTATTTTGCTTGTCCACACAGCACACACCTGCAGGAGTCAAGCTGGATTTAGGCACCAAACGCCTCATCTTAACATTATCTGGCCGATCGGGTAATAACCTCGGAGAGCATCATTCCCGCTAACCTGTGTCAAGCAGGAGTCCGACAACTCCAAAGTTGGAGTGGGAGACGCTGTAGTGGAGAGCGGTGTTGCCGTTGCCGTCGGTCATGTTGACCACGTGCTGAAGCAGCACGGAGGACACCTCCGAAAACGCCATCAGGTAGTCTGAGACGCGGGGAGGCTGGGCCATCTTCGCACTGGATATTCTGAACCACTCCAGCTGGACGCTGTGTGTGCTGGAGAGCTGAATGTGGGTTTGTGAAGAGATACACGATTACAAACCGAAACAGGACTGAAGCGGTCCGTCTATCTCAGTGAGGCAAAAGTATCGACAATTGTACACTGTATTCCAACAAAGTCTCTTCTTGTTTCGTGTTAAAAGTAAGCTGAAAGGTCAGCGAATATTAAAGTTCTCTCGCTTGTTGTTAAATTAGGACTCGGGCTCACTTCCTGAGCCATTTCTCCAGTTGACTCCAATGTTATTGTCACATAAAGCTGCTATTGTTTGTACGAGCATGATAAATACACCCCCACACAAAAGAATACAGTCCATAAACATTCATTATAACAGGACAATGCCATGATTTACTTGGCATTCTTGTCGTGTTGCACTGACGAAGCTGAGTGCACTTAGATAAGACTATTGGAAGAAGAAAAACTTGGAACGCACCACTTCCTTACTCTTCAACGCTTTGACGTCGTCGTTCAGGTGGTTCTTCAGAATGAGGCAGGCTTCACGCATTTTTAAGCTAAACTCAAACCTGTGAAACAAGGAGAATTACCAGTTTTCTGAAAATTTGTTATTTATGATAGAACCTTTACTACTGTCCAGAACACATGTAGAAAGATATTATTATTATTCATGTCTCATTATTGGCTGAACAGATTAGTAAAGATCTGCATTGGCCAAATATAAACTCACACTGATCTCTTACACATCCCTTAAAACTCTTGAATAATCGGAATCCAAATCTGTTAATGGCCACGTGAAGATTACTGCGTTTTCTTTTCCTTTTTAAGAACATACTTTTCTTTCACAGCATCTGATGAGTAGTTTGCAGCTCTCAGTGTTTCCTCGTCGGTATCACTCTCGTCCAGGTTGACATTTCTCTCCTCCTCTGAGGTTTCTTCCTCCAGAGCCGCCTCATCCTCCTCCGTGCTATCCAAGCACTCTCCTTCTCCACTTTCTCCAGAGGAGCTGCCGTCCTCCTCCTCTTCTTCCTCCTCCTCCTCCTCCTCCTCATCCTCTTCCTCTTCACTGGAGGTAGATTCATACCTAGCAGAAGCATTTTTGCTTGTGTCAAACTCTTTTCGGGGGGCAGGTTTTTGTTTCTTTTGTGTCAAGTATGTGACCTGGTTAAAGTATTATTTCCAATCCCTTAGACTTTGTGTCGCCTTCTTTTTATTTTTTGCTGCAGTAAAAATAAAAAATAGGTTCGTGTTACTGTTACACACCCCCCGTTTAGAATGCCAACAAACTGCAGACTCTTCTTCCCGGCCGAGCGATTCTCTGTCGAGTTACTCCCATCCTTCCTCTTCATGATTGATTTCAGCATACCTGTTGCCACAGAGGAGTCAAACGGTAATTCAGAAAACAAACACAACTGATTTATACTTGCTGTTAAAAGCAGCTGAAGTGTAATTTATTTTAGCTCAGCTAAGTGTAGTCATTTTAATAGAACTTCTCACAGAATAGGGCTACACCTCAATGGACTGATTATATTTGGTGTAACAGTCATTTAAAAAATAGCTTTTGTTGGTTTGAATGGGCTTTAACTTCTTAAAGTTTTACGTCAGTACTCACCTGTTTTGGTGCTGCTGGCTGTGGCCTCCTCTCCTTTGTCTGCCTCTTTTTTCTCCACCACACAGACCAGCTCTTCCTCTGGTGAGACCTTGTAGTCAGCAATGGTCAGCTGTCTCTTCTTTGGCGCTTTCGGCTCCTCAGGCTTGTCATCGTTCACGTTCTCCCACTGGCAGCCGACGCTGACCAGCACAGCGGCGGCCGGTTCCGGGGCTTCCTCCGGAGCTTCGGTCTGGGCGCTCTGTTCTCTCTGATCTGCTGCTGAGCTTTCGCCCACGCAGACGTCCGTCACCTCCGGACGGCACGAGACCGCGGCATGCTTCAACGCTGCGGGCAACGTCTCGACCTGGGCATCTGTCGTGTCCGGTTTGGCGAGGACCTCCTTCTCGAGCATGACTTTAGAAGTTTTCTCCTCCAGCTGGGCTTTGAAGATTCCCAGGTCTTTGTCGGTAACCCTCAACTGATCTTCCAGAGCCACGATGGATTCCTGCTGGAATTTGATGGTGTCCTGTAAGGTGTCGATCTCGCGCTGGGCCTCGGTGGTCAGCCCAAGCAGCGACTCCATGACCCAAACCTCCGCATCCTCCGCGTCTGGCCTGACTTGCGTGGCCCGTTCATGAACGGGTAGGGCCTCTGTCGCGGTACATTTTTCACACGTATTCACCTCCGTGCCGACAGACGAGTCCTTCACACCGTGGCTGTAGTAGAAAACTACGGAGGCCATGGGCACGTTCTCCCCAACGGCCACCGATTTCTTTTGGACAGCTACTTTTTCTGGAGTGTTCGTCAAAACCTTGGCCGACTGTTGGCCAGACTTCTGCTCCTTCCCCTCAAACTTTTCCGTGAGCCTTTTCAAGTCACCGGATTTTACGAGGCCCTTGTGCCCACTCGTGCTTGGGGAAGCCTGGCCACTGTGCTCACTGTCCAGTGTCTCTGTAGTTTGAGTGGAGGACTCTGCGGACGGCTGCTTCTGCTGGGTAACCTCGAGGGCGGCTTTCTTCTCCTCCAGGGCCGACAGAAGCATGTCTTTCTCTGCCCGAAGCTTGGCCACCTCTCTCTCCAGAGCGGGAACGCCCTTCACCCGCTCCTCCATCTCCTTCAGCTGCTTCAAGGCAGTGGCCATCTGCTCTCTAACCGTCTGCAGCTGGCTGGGCGGGACGGGGGTCACGGTGGTGCCGGCGGCCGGCGTGCTGCGCCCAGAGGTTTGAGGGCTGGGTCTCATCAAGTTACTCTGCAGAGTCTGAACGGCCGGGGAGAACGTGAGCTGTTTGGGGGGATCGGCAAGCTGGAGGCGGCCGCCGTTCTGATGCTGGCCGCTCTGCTCCTGCTGCAGCCGCCGGCTGGTTTCCAGCAGCGTCCGCTCCACTCTGGGGTTGCGCTGGGGCGGGGGCGGTGGCACTTTGGCCCCGGCGGACAGGGGCGGGACGCTGAGGACGGTGACGGGAGAAAGGGAGAGTCCCTCGCACGGCGCCGAGCCGATGCGGTTACGCGGCGGCGGCGGGGGGGGGGCTCGGCCATCCTCGCTGGCCGGAGACGCAAGCGACTCCGTGGACGTCCACCCGCTGGTCCGTCCCCCGACACCTGGACTCCGCTGGGAAAGTTTGAGCCCCCGACCGGGACGGCGGGAGCTGAGAGGCGCCCGGCGGAGGTTGTGCCCGCTCTCTATCTCTTCCACATATTTTAGGAAGTCCAAGTCCAGCTGGAAGCCATATGGAGTCTGGACAGAGTAAGAGGCTGGCTGATCAGCCTCCTCTTGACTTGAGTAGTGGAATGGAGAGCCTAAATCTGAAAGGAAAAAAGACACATCAGCAAAACCAATTCTTTTGTATTCAAAAGATTTTTTTCTTAACAATTTTACATTTATTCTGAATGAGCTCTAACAAATATGTTTAATATACACTATATCTGAGCACACATGAAACGTATTTGACACTGTGCAATAATAGGTTTTTATTGGTGTCTAATTCACTTTCTGTAGACTTCATTACAGGTAAACAAAGGGGATTGAAGCGTGTCTACCTTTACCAGCAAACAATGCAAATAAAACAAAGATCCATGTCAAACAGTTTAATTTTGTGGTGATAAACCACAAAAATGAATAGAACCACCAATACATATTGAAATATATATTAGTAGTTTCACAATATTACAGCAAAAAGAATAGGCCATAGGCTGAAGCCTGTATCGTTAAGTTTCGCTCCACTTATTGAGGGACTACTAAATGACACCTGCAAAAAAAACCTTAGTGCATTTTGAGCTCATAACCAAAAGTTCTCCAATCGCTTTGCGCCAGTATTTTTACAATAATTACTTAAAAATGTAACTATATCGGTAGCCTGATCACACCGGTAAAGTACGCTCGAATCAAGCCGCCTAGCCGTTAGCCAATCAGAGCGCGTCCTTCAGGTGCGCTCTCCCATTCAGAGGCGAGAACAGAAGAACAACAACAAACATGGCTGCTCCCGTGGAGCAGCGTTTTCCCGTTGATCAGACAAAAAACGCAAGAAAAATGAGGATTATATATGCATCACACACATATAATCGGTAGACAAAGAACGAACACAGCCACTAACAGTTGTTCGTGGAAGAAGCTGGTCGTGTTTTCCCGTAAGTGTATTGACGGAATTGACCGCACGTTGGCGGAGGGACACAAGACAAAGAAAGGTAAATTGGTCCAAGCAGAAACTATACATACTGGTGATTAGATAATTTGCAGACAGCATCTTTGTTTGTGGCGTATAATCAAAAGCTAAAGTAATACATTTGTTGATTTAAAAAAAATGCATGTGTAATTGTTGCCAGCCCTAGCCTTCATTATGAAGTAGGTGTATGAAGGCTAAGTGTAGGGCCTCAATAATAATAAAAGGCATTATTATGAACTTGAAGTGATGATAGGCAATTAATTGATTTGTCAAATAATGGTTAGATTTTAAATTTGTCACCCAACTACCAGTTCAGTCTGGTAAAAGAGAGAAAATGTATTTGATATTATTTGTTGGCAGCTGGTTTATGATTTAACTTTAACTCTCTCTTTGCTAGGGAGTTTGGTTAAAGCAGCTGAAGTGAAAATGGACGAATCCATCCTCAAGGATGTACGTGGAAAAGATTGTGTCGCAATTGAAGTCCGGTAGCACAAACGGTGCTACAAAGAAAGTTAAATTCAATTCAATTTTATGTATATTGATACTAATGATAATGATAGGAGTTATGACAGAAATAACACTAAGCAGAGTAGTAGCAGAGCAGGAACACGGGGGGAGCAGGAAACTCCCAACCACAGATCCAGCTTCCACAGCTCTAGGAACACCTGCAGGAAGTGATAGGAGGAGACTCCTATCACTCCTATGATTTTGATGATTCATAGTTTCTTTGTGTTTTCTATTGTAATTCTCAAGTCGTAACAACCCGAAGTGATCCTGAAAAGATTAACATCTCAAGGCTTGCTGGGTCCAACAAAAGTAATTGTTTAAAAACAGAAATGTCTTTGTGCCTTCTTTAATTCCCTGTACATTTCCATATTAAGTCTTGCCTCAGAGGAGTGAATTCACAACCCACGGGTTAGCTGATTGAAATTATTTCATTTCTGAAAACCAATTTGAATATTTGTCCATAGTAAACTGAATTTTGTAGTAAATGTGAAAAAAAACAATCTTGTATCTTATAAATAAGAGTTCATTTTTTAATGTTGTGATATTAATACTTTCCATTGTTCTTATAAATAATCAATCATTATGATTATTATTCTTCCTATTGTTATGAGGCATCTGAAAACTTTACCCCTTTTCAAAATCAGGTTATCATTGCTATTGCCATTTGTCAATAGTCACTGAGTGGAGATTTATAAATGGTTAGAATCGGTCTTTATAATTATATATGTACATGTATAAAATTTGGGAGATATCAACTTTGGCATGCTTAATGCTTGGTATAATTGTTCAAAAGTAATTGAAAAATTATATGTAGGCTTCTTATTCTCTTTCAGTTTTTCTGAAGATGATTAATTCTCTCTGTATATATTCATAAATGTTGCAACAAACAGAAGAAGTAACTCTTGTTGGTGTGGGAATGGAGTGGTGGTGGTGGTGGTGGGGGGGGTTGTTACTATTATTTTTGTTATTATTTGTTCATTAATTCCATGAATGCTTAAGTTGATATCAGATCCATTGAATAAACAGTATAAATTTACTTGAAGATTCTTCTAGTTTTTATTGTTATTTCCGAAAATTTTGCTTCCAATATTGTAACTGGTCTGCTAGGTGATAAAATTCACACCACTTTAAATAGTTATTAATTAACCAGACACAAAGGGATATCTTTCTATTAGAGTTTTTCAATTTAAAATTCAAAGAATTGCAGTTTTCATGTGCAGTAAATATATATTTTGGGAAATTGCGAAATTGTTAAAAAGTGTATGTTTTCATTTAGAATAACTCCGTACTTAAAGCACGCAGAACATTGCCGTTTTAGAAGCTCTGAGTAAGTATGAATGTCTGTGGGAATCAAAAATTTGAGTACAATCACATTAATAATAAAAAAGTTACAAGGGTTTGAAAATGGTAGAAGACCCAAAATCGTCACTTTTTTGGGTAAACTGCCACCTTTGGCACCCATTTTCTCAAATACTGGCAGGAATCCCATGGAGAACTTTTTTTCCCAGCTCCAGTACATATTCAAGATTGGAAAAGTGCTATCAAAAGTAGTCCCCAGGTTAGTGGAGCGAAATCCTATTTCTAGCCACATTTTGAGCTTCAGCCTATGGCCTATATTGTAACTGGTTTGCTAGGTGATAAAATTCACACCACTTTTCATAGTTATTAATTAACCAGACACAAAGGGATATCTTGCTATTAGAATTTCCATCCATCCATCCATTATCAATGCCGCTTATTCCCTCATGGGGTCGCGGGGGGAACTGGAGCCTATCCCAGTGGTCAACGGGCGAGAGGCAGGGTACACCCTGGACAGTCCGCCAGTCCATCGCAGGGCCACACACAGGACATACAACCACTCACACTCACATTCACTCCTAAGGGCAATTTCCCCAATCTCCAATCAGCCTAACATGCAGGTTTTTGGACTGTGGGAGGAAGCCGGAGAACCCGGAGAAAACCCACGCAGACACAGGGAGAACATGCAAACTCCACCCAGAAGGGCCCTGGTTCCCCCGGGATTCGAACCCAGAACCCTCTTGCTGGGAGGCGACAGTGCTAACCACCACACCACCGTGCCGCCCCGCTATTAGAATTTTTCAATTGAAAATTCAAAGAATTGCAGTTTTCATGTGCAATAAAGATACATTTTGGGAGATTGTGAAGTTGTTCAAAACTGTATGTTTTCATTTAGAATAACTCCGTACTTAAAGCACGCAGAACATTGCCGCTTTAGAAGCTCTGAGTAAGTATGAATGTCTGTGGGAATAAAAAATTTGAGTACGATCGGCTTAATAATAAAAAAGTTACAAGGGTTTGAAAATGGTAGAAGACCCAAAATCGTCACTTTTTTGGGTAAACTGCCACCTTTGGCACCCATTTTCTCAAATACTGGCAGGAATCCCATGGAGAACTTTTTTTCCCAGCTCCAGTACATATTCAAGATTGGAAAAGTGCTATCGAAAAGTAGTCCCCAGGATAGTGGAGCGAAATCCTATTTCTAGCCACATTTTGAGCTTCAGCCTATGGCCTAGAAGCTAACAATGTCTTTTTCTTTTTCTTTTTTTTAAAAAAAAGGTGTCTTTTTCCCATATTTGTTGTTTGAAATGATACTGTCTGGTAACCAAAAGTACACAACAAAGTAATAAGTAGCGCTGAATCTGCTGGATGTTCCGCTGTGAAAACTTTTGAGCAGAGACAGTTCAGCCAGAAGAATGCCGTGGAAGGAGACTACGAGAGCAACGGTCTGCTCAAAGTCACGTCACGTCTGATTACACTGTCACAGACACCTACAATGCTCCTGCTGCCACCCGCAGAGATAAATCAGTGGTGTCTGGATCATCAGCAAATGACGCTGAGACCTGATTTAAGAACAAAAATAGCTTTTCCTGAACCGTAAACATGAATGAGTTTAGTCTGTTTCCCATGGTCAAAGTTTCCCAGTATGTTGAAACAAACAAACAAAAAGTTTTCTCTGGAAACCCAAATAAATAGTTTATTAATAGTCTTCCTTTTTATTTCACTGTAGTTGAATATTTTGGTAGAAATGTAAACAGGCCAGTGTTTCCATGGTTAGTTTCTTACCAGGCAGTTTTGGATTGACCTGCACCGACTGAGCCATTTTTCAGGACTGGAGCCTCTTCGTTCCCACAGCTTCTAATCAGCACCTGGCTTAAAAAGAGAAAAATTCAATGAATGCATTTGTAAGTGATGATAATTTCTGAAAAGGTGCACCTCATTAAAAAATGAAAAAGCCCATCTTTGACGGAGAAACACCGTCAGAAAAAGCTGTAAAATAAAACAAGAAAACACAGAGCGCAAGTTTCATATTTTGAAGATCCAATGAACGCTCAAATTAAAGGCTCCCTTTACACAGTCCTTCAAACTAGCTCCATGCTTTCAGCTAAGTGGTGGATATGAGGGGAATTCCCTTAGAATTTAAGAGAGGTTTTGTTACATGCATGCCATGTTTGCTTTTCATCTTAGAAAGGTCTAAGGACATTTGGCCTGAAATCATTCACACTTAAAATCACATGACAGCTTCTCCATTAACAACAGTTCTGCTTCATCTGTCTGCTTTAAAAAGAACAGGTTTTGCATTGTCTCAAAGCCCACTTCCAGACAATGTCACTGACAAATGCATCTCTCTTTTCCCTTCAGCTATATATATGGTCACTCACTCAGAGACTAAATGCCAATGACTTAAGAGTAAGACCCCAAAAAATTTTGATTTGTATTCTCTTTTCTGTTAGACTGAATGTTTACTAAAGTTTATTGTTTGAGAAAAAGTTAAAAAGAGCTTATGGCTTCAAAAGTAAAAATGTGTTCTTCAGAGACAGTCGACAGTTGGTGTGAGAAAACTACACAGACCAAAAGGCTTAAAAGAAAGGCTTGTTTTTAACTTTACCTCCTTCAGCCGCTGAGAGAGAGATTCAAGCAGCTGGAGCTCGGGCTGGTTCCCTCCTTCCTGCACCACACAGCCCTGTAAGATGGAGACAAAAAAATGCCATGATTTCAAAACACACTGCGGTCCGCACCCTTCATTAAATAATATAATCAGAAATTGCTCCCGAACCGAATGCTGCATGAGACATAGCAGACTTTTATAGTCCCCCAAAACTAAAATCAACCAGGAAAATTAAGTTCATAAGAGCACAGAAGCTGCACAGTGCATTTTATAAGATTTATTAGTTGGTTTGTTTTTGTCAATTGGTCATCCATACTGTATGTGAAAATCTGTACAGTCAACACTTCTTACTACCCACACACACACCAGCTAAGATGCGTGCTCTGGATTCGTGGTTTTTAACGTGCACGCGCGATTCCCAGCAGCCTCAAGCACATTCCTAACACACGCTGCCCAAACACGCCAGTTGTCCTTGGACCTCGCTGATTACCGATAACCTGTCCACACGTCATCTGTCAGCTCAGCCTACTGACAAAGAATTTACTGTTAGCAAAACTCCAACAATCATTCACAGGGACAGGCAGCCAATGAACTGAATCCTTACGGTGTGTGACTGGGGAATGATCAAAATGTGTGATTTTCTCAGCAGAAAAGAGAAAAATCTGTCAAATGACAGGGTTCCTGCTTTGTGTTCCCGTCATCCGGAGCTGTTTCTTTTCATACAGTCAGCTTCCACAGAAAATCTGATGCTTCAGATTCGGCCAGTCTCACGCGAGGCATAAAGAAGCTTTCCAAAGATGTGTGGCAACAATCCTTTCAAACAGAGGCACTTTGAGTTTTAGAGTTTGGTTTTCTTTAGAGCCAAACACAAGGTTTCCTGAGTTATAAACAAGTCGCACGGCTCTCTGGGAGCCGGTCTTAAGGACTGATTTAGTAACGTGAAGTCCTGGTGTTCACTACAGTTTCTAGAACTTTCTCACCCTGTTCTAGAGTTCTACTTGTGCATGTGTGCTTATTTTGAGTTGCAAGTTGAATTAAAATGTTGTAGTATGAGTTTTTTTTTGTTCTTTGCAGAGATTTATCATCCTTGTCTCTTAGGCAGTTTTACGACATCTCTATTTTTGGTGTAAATGTAGCTCTTGCTGTTTAACAGCTAGAGGCTGATTTAAGTGAAGCAACTGTTTTTCAGGAAAATGGTATCAAAAACATATTCTAGGCATATTTCCAGTCCTTCCAAGTTTTTTTTTATCTAAACTAAAATGAAAGGTTAGGCGTCAGGTACTGACAGTCACCTGACTGAAACACAGCAATGTTATGTAGGGACATAACTGGGAAAAAAGCAGGAAGAAAGGTCGGGATAGTGGAAGGATGGATTTGAGAGAAGATAATGCCAAAACACCATTCACAAATGGTTCATTTTAAAATTAGACATCACGGCAAACAATAATTAAAACCAAGGCTACAACTGAAATCTCCTCCTCGTATTATTCTTTTCCTCCCTCTTTCTTTGTTTCAGCCTTTCTCCCCTCACATGACTTCTTCTCTTCTCACCCAGAGCTACCATCAAAACATTCACACAGACACACACACACACACAGTCACACACACACACACACTTTCCACAGCTCTTCTCAAGTGTTGCTGTTTTCCCCCCCTTTGATTTGATGACAGCAAATTACAGACTGCAGGGAGAAGCTGCATTCCTGCCCCGAGTCCTGACCAGCTGAGAGCCACGCTGGAGACTCACAGACACAAACACAGGGGCACCGGCATGCACAGGAGGTCGTAATGATACGCACGCAAGCAAAAATAAGCAGGGCTTTGACAGAAACAGGGAGCATCGAGTATATTGAAAAGCCTAAAAAGACCTTTAAGTGCTAGTCATCAATTAAAAGGGGAACACTATCTAATTTGGGTCTGAACCCAAGATCTGCAAACTCATGGATATTCTCTAATCTTTTGCAGCTTTTTGAGTAATTTGCTGTTGGTGTTAAAATTGCATTGGAGCTGGTTGAAAAGTTTGTAAAATGATGATGTGTGTTCTTAGGCCATCATCCAAAAAAACCCCAGATTCCATCAAATCTTCTGCATCAAACGTTGGCAGAGCGCTGCATTCACACACAGACACTGAACGTATCACATGTTCATTTAACAATCAGGGAAATGTCTCCATTACATTTTATAAGTAACCAAACTGTGGGCATGAAAGTATAATGTAGTAAACATCTGACTGGGTTTCTGTTTCTTAGAGGTTTGGTTGACAAAGCGCTCTGTAAATTAAACATCGCATTGCTTAAATTCTATGCAGCATTGCTCCAATTTCAGCAGATCTGAGCTTCTGTACGGAGATCTGACACAAAACTGATAACTGTATATAACAATACATGTGAGGTGCATAGATGAGTGAAAAATATAGGAAAAGTCAACATATGGCATTTTAGTTCACTGCTGGTTCCTTGACCTCGGAGAGTTTTGACACTTAATCTGCGGGGCGAAAGAACACCTTCAAGCTGGTAGATTTATTTTTGTCGTTTGATGAAAGTGATATGGCCAAACAGATCAGTCCAAAAGTTCAGGTATTACAACAGCTTTAATCTGTGGTGACCAGAAGAAATCATTAAAGATGTTTTTGTTTTTTGTCCTTATCCATTGAAACATCCTTTGTGCCCATAAGTGGTAGTGATATGGCTTGTTGGATTTGAATCATGGGACATTTTATTTACAAGACCAGAAAAATGTTCTTAGCATATCAGATGCAGACCATGTAAAACAGAAAGACCAGAATACCGTCGATTTTTCTGCCATCAAAAATGCAATTATCTGCATTTGTCTTTAGTCAAAAGACAAACCCATTTCATTATGACCTCACTGTAGGAAAACAAGGATTCAGCTTGCACCTTAATGTCTCACCACTTATCGGAAAAGGCACCTTTAGATTAACCTGTTTGCTTTTCACATAATCACCTACAATTAACTGAAGAAAGAGAGTGTCTTTGTGGTTTACAGAGCAAACTATGCGACATTTATTTAAAGCTCATAATTATTGTGTTTCTGCTGTCAGAAATGTATGTAATGGGAATGTATTATTTTGTTGATATTTTCCATCAATTAAAAACACTTCTTTTGTAGTGACATTTCTTGTGTGGTGAAACAAGAGGCACACATTGTAAATCAAAAGCCGAGACCGTTAAAAACAGTTTGCAAAACCAAAACTAAAAAAAAAAAAGAAGTGCAGAACAATCCGCCATTGATGCGTTTTCCCTGCGGACTGGAACATGTGACGCCCTGAGGAGAAGTTCGCTGACATCCCAGCTCTGACTCACAGACATGAAGAGGAGAGCGTTCAGCTGGATTCATGGAGGAGGAAATGTCGTGCTAGGGCAAGGCTCGGGCCGTGTTTTCAAACAGTGACTTCATCCTGAACGCCGGCCGCCCGCTCGTGAGGGGAGGCCAGAGAGGGAGAAACAGCAGGATACACAATCTGACTGACAAGGAGGGGAGGGAGGGAACGTCGAGATCCTTTCTCTGACAGCAACTTTCACAATCTGGCTGCTTTACATGAGAAAAAAACCCATTCAGAAATCTACACACACACACACACACACCAACACACACATTCCTTTAATCTGAGATACAGGACACGAACACACATTCAAACAAGCATGTATACGATGCCTTTCAGTTGACTCTTTAGTCGACTGTTTCCAATCCATGTGAATTTTACAAATACTGTTATTCTCATTTTAACCCACGCTGGCGTTTTTCTTTTTCCTCACACACACACATGCACCCATCAGAGTCAATCAGTGTGTATTGATAATCAGTTTATTGCAAAAAAATCCTCGTAAAAATGAATAAAACTATTGGACGCAACATTAGACAATACTGATCAGCTATCATAATTAATTCCAGTGAAGCCAATATAAACTTCAGGAGTCTGTGATATCAAAACTCAGATAGATAGAACTTGGAGCACCATTCATATCACTAGTTAGCATCCGTAAAAGCCTCGCTTTAAAAGAGCATTCACACACACCGGTTGGATTTAAAATAGCATTCATGAACAATGCAATTAAAAGACTAGTTAAACCTATCTCTTACAAGCATCAGGCCAAAGGACGAAAAATCCATTAAGGACTTAAAGCTTAGCATCATCGTCTGCTAGGTGGGTGGTTTGACCCTCGATTTCCCCAGGCCACAGGAAAAAATGGTCAGAGGGCACGACACTGAGCTCCGCTTTGCCTTAAATGTGGGTATCATTGTGTGAGTGTGTGTGGTAGAGGAAAAAGAGCACTGTGTGGTCTTTAACGGTGTATAGACTGAGTTCTCTGTGTATGTGTCTGAAGGGGGAGATGGAGCTCGTGCTTTAAGAGTAATTTGAGTGGACAACTCCACAAGAGACCTATTACAAAGAGTTCAGAGGAAACTTTAGATCCAAAATGATAAAATATGATCTGCAGATGATGAAATACGGACAGCTGACCGTAAAGGACCTGGCAGAAAGGTTCCTGCGAGCAGTGTAAGGCTCAGAGTCAACTCTTATCTTATGTGATGCTTTCTGAGGGGAAACTGTGTCTCAGCAAAAAGTCAGCTTTTATAACTTTTAATTATAATCCCATCTGAATTTAAACCTCAAACCAGAAGTTAATCCTGAACTTAATCTCTTCAACAGACGTGGAGATTTCTTTCATGTTTTCCCCCTCATGAAGACTTTAAGACTGACACTAAATGCTAAAGTACACACACACACAAACAGGAGGGCTTTTCTTTCTGCTGGGATAAATCTGCAGTTTCCTGAAGGGAAGCTTACTACTCCCCCAATAAATCCCCCCATCACGACGCGAAACACAAACACATGCTCACACACACACACACACACACACACACATCTCCATGTACCCATAAGAGACCTCCCATTGTCTCCCAGTAGGAACTGGTGGGGGAGGAGGGTCCTGCCAGGAAGCCCATCGGGCCGTCCTGAAAGCTGCTTCCTGAAGCCAGCAGGAAAACAGAGGAGAAGACAAGCAAAAACTGAGTGCTGAACAAATACTGTGACACTAACGCATGCTTTTCACAC